CACTCACTCACTCACTCACTCACTCACTCACTCACTCACTCACTCACAAGCCAGTGTATCTCTGGTCCCAAGCTTGGGTAAATGGTGAGGGTTGTGTCAGGAATGAAGGAAATTGTGCTACTGTTAGTTGAAGACCACGAGGAGGCAAATATGTCAGGAGACAGAGGGAGAAGAGGAAAGTGAAGAATGTAGGACTGAGGATTGCAAATCTAAATGTGGGGACAATGACAGGCAAAGGTAGAGATGGCTGACATGATGCAGAGAAAAAAGGTAGATGTTTATGTGCTCAAGAAATCAAGTGGAAGAGCAGAAAGGCTTGAAGTATTGGAGCAGGATTTAAACTGTTTTAGGATGGTGTGGATAGAAAGAGAAATGGAGTAGAGGTGGTCCTGAAGGAGGAGTTGTCAAAGAATGTAGTAGAGGTGAAAAGAGTGTCAGATAGGGTGATGTGTCTGAAGGTAGAAGTAGAAGGTCTGATGCTAAATGTTGTTGGTGGTAATGCTACACAGGTTGGATATGATGGTGGTCAAGGGTGGCCTTGACCACTGTAGAATAATCCTTGGCCACCCCAGTCATTGGAAGAAACTATACTTTTAAGGAATGTAAAAACTAGAAAACATACCGGTAGTTTCCTCAAATGATAATGGTGGCCAAAATATATATACCGTAGATATGGGGGCAGAGGTTTGGTGGACAGCTTTGTGGAGTAGTGCGGACAGAACCACCTGCAACTCTCAACATTGGAAAAACTAAAGAGAACTAAAAGAAGATCAGCCCCCCAACCCTTTCAACATCAAGGGTACTAAGGTGGACACTGTGGACTGCTACAAGTACCTGCGGGCCCACCTAGACGATAAACTGGACTGGACAGCTAACATCAACGTCCTCTAGAAGAAAGGGCAGAGTCGCCTTTTTCTTCTGAGGAGACTTAGATCCTTTAACATCTGCAGGACCGTGCTGCAGATGTTTTACCAGTCGGTGGTCTCCAGCATCTTCTACACTGCGGTGTGCTGGGGGTGAAGAAAGCTGATGCCAACAGACTCGATAAACTCATCAAGAGAGCTGGCTCAGTTCTGGGAGTGGACCTGCAGTCTCTGACAGAGGTGTCTGAGCAGAGGATGCTGAAGAGACTGCTCCAGATCCTGAACAACACGTCACACCCCCTGCATGACACCCTGGACTCTTACAACAGTACCTTCAGTCGTAAACTGAGACCACTGAGGTGCTCCACAGAACAACACAGGAAGTCCTTCCTCCCTGTGGCTATCAAGCTTTTCAACTCCTCCCCCTTTCTACACATAGCACAATAAAATTAAACCTGCACTACAATAAACTCTTAAATGTTTCTCTCTGCACCTGACCTGTTTAGAACTTAATTGCTGGTATTTTTATATTCTCTGTTATTTTTTATATCTTGTGTGATTCCTTGTGTATGTTAGAGATGCAGCCACACACTAAAATGGAAGTCGGTACCTCACTAATTTTTCAAGTTCTGCTCACAACGTGAACAAAAGAAGTGGACAAAGGGTATTTCCAATTCCCCCTGTTCTCGCTGCGACAGAGGACAACAACCTGCTTCACAAAGCTGAGTGACCCAAAGGACAAAAAGAAGTCAACACAGTCTGGGCTTAGGGGGGCGACTCTGTCCTGAACTGGACCGGCCAGAGGCAAGACTTGGACCCTTTGAGACCTAAAATCATTGGTCTATCAACATTTCTCATCAAATCAGACTGAGACTGAGAATGTTTACCAAGAAGAACAGCAAAAAATCCTTCCACCCAGATGTCAAAGCTAAATAGACTCTGGAAAGGGATCTATAAATACTGAATAAAAGATGACTTTTCTCTTTTTTTTATATTTAACAACTTGTGTTAAAACTAAAATTAAATTGCATACCATTTTGTTTTTTGTTTCATCATTATGAGGTGCAGAGAACAGATTAATAAGAAAAAGGATTTAATTTCAGCATCAAGCAAGAACGTAACAAAATACTTGCTGAATTATCTGGACACATATAATTACTACAGATAAGTACAGAAGACAAAAGTATAGGGATGTTTTAATATACTTGGAATGTTAATAAAAGAAGACTGGAAACAAACAGGATTAATGTTGTCTTAATGAACTGGGAGGTTTTCTTCATGGTGTTGCGTCCCCATTCCTATGTGGTTTCAGGATTGTCCTTGGGGCCCGAGGCTGTGGTTACAGAGGCCCATGAAAACAACCCTCTCCACATCACAACACAGTTACAGTAGTTAGACTGCTATTTAACCTGGAAATTCATCCTCCTGAGATTTAAACTCATTTACAGGCGTGTCCTGGCTCCAAACAGCACTAACATACAACATAAACATACACAGAAAGTTTTACATATTACAAAAAAAAGGACATTAAAGCTTTAAACAATAAACTAAAATGTATATTCAGTAAATTTAAGCAGCTGTCTTCAGATTCAGAAACATCCAGGTGTTTGCATATTTAAATATTTACACTTGGTTTAAAATCTCAACCATTTTTGGCAGAGTCAAAAGGAAGAAGTCGTGTGAAGGAACACAGTAACCTGGTATTTTCTGAAGGATGTAGGTTCATAGAATTTAAAGAAAAGGGACAAATAATGACTGCTGGAGACAGACACCATCTCCTCCACAGCCCTGCAGGAAAAGTGGGTAAAGAAGATGGATGGATATCAGACAGCTCCTACTTAGTCTCAGGTCATGGGTCTTAAAACATGACCCAAACAACGCAGCTGAAAAACAACACTGGACTGTTCCTAAATGGACCTTCATGAGCCCAGATCTTGTTGAAGATCTGTGGAAAGATCTGAAACCTGCCCCATCACTATCACCATGAACTGAGTGAGTTGGAGCAGCTTGTTCAGGAGCAGAGGATTACAGTCCTAAAGCATCATAGTTCTTCAGACCTGACTCAGCCAGAGCAGTTTGTCCTGGAGGAGTGGACCAATGACCTATTGGTCCATGCAGATGTCTCATGGTGAAGTTCAGAGATTGCTTGCTGGCACTGATTGGTGCAAAAGCTGCTGTTACAAAATATTCAACAAAGTCTACCATCTTTTTTTCTCCATGCAGTTTTTATTGGTTTAAGAAATATTCAGCTGAACCAATGAAAGCTCATATTGCAACTGCCTGATGAATACATTAGTCAGTTTTCTTCATTTGACAGAGTCAGACAGCAGATGGTAGTTTCCACTTAGAACAAGTCCCTATTTTAACATCTGTAAATTTACCTCCCATCATGTTGATGTTACGGTGTCCTGATGCCTTAGAGTTCAGTTTATGGAATGTGTTCGTTCTTGTGTGAAAACATCTGTCAATCCATTGTCTCTACCTACTTCACGCAGGGTCACGTGGAGCAGGTGTTTATTTCTAGCAGTCATTGTGCGAAAGATGGGGACAACCTGGACGTGTCTCCAGTCTATCACAGGGACACATAGGAGACAAATGAAACGAACAACCATTCACCCTCTCACTCACATCTAGGCACAAATTTCATTACCGGTAGATCTAACATGCATGTTTTGTGTGAAAACTGAGTTGTATTTTCTTGAGACATGAAAGGTAATCGAGTCTATTATGTTTAAAGCTGAAGCATAAGCTCTGAGCAGAGGGTGAAATATTCTGTGAAAAGTTTACTTTTAAATCTAATTTTATGCGTTCAGATTATTTGTCTTTGCAATTTAATTACTGGTACAAAAAATTAAGTAAAACACTTAACCAAGTCCTGCTTATCCGTTTTATTTTCTTTCCCTTAAACATTTGAGGACCATCACATTAAATCTGGGATTTTGTCAGATTTAATCAAAATAATCTAAGACAATTTCAGTTTCTTGGCTTTTAATAAGCTACATTTTGGAACCTAAAGCATCCTGATATCACTAGTGGTCCAGCGATATGGCTTGGATTGTCTTGCTAATCAGAATAATCCCTGGAAGATGGCTCTTAATCCTGATTTTAATGTATTCTAAGATTTCTTGATGTCATTTGAAAGAAAACACTCTAAATCAGATTTGGATATCAGTATTTCTCAGCTGGTATTAAAAATGTTTCACTAGTGCAGAGGGAAAGTAGTGAAAATGAAGACTTTTCCACTCAGAATAAAACTATTAGTTATACTCAGAAGTGCATCAAAACATTCTGTAGGATCAGACATTTCATTCGAGGGACCCAGAGATCAACTATTTATTCATCATAATCTGTCAAAATCCATTTATAGCAAACTTTTCAACCCATAGCTGCATATAACTCAACAGATCATCGTGAGCCAACACTCGGTTTGATGTGATGGATCACTTTTGTATTGAAACACACAGCACTAAATTAATTTTCCATCCATCCATCCATCCGTCCGTCCGACCATCCATCCACCCACCCACCCACTCACTCACTCATTCCAAAATCAGGTCGCATGGGCAGCATCTTGATCAGGGAGGCCCAGACAGCTCTTTCCACAGCCACCAATTCCAGCTCTTCTGGGAGGATTCCTAAGGCGTTCCCAGGCCAACCGAGAGACACAGTCTCTCCAGTGGGTTCTAGGACTTCCCTGGGGTCTCCACCCAGTCAGACATGTCAAAGCACCTCCCTAGGGAAGCACCATGGGAACATCCTTACCATAGTTCATGGCCATAGTTGAGGGTAGGAACGTAGACTGACCAGTCATCAGACAGCTTTGCCTTACAGCTCAGCTCCCTCGTTACCACAACGGACCAGCACAGAGTCTGCAATACTGTAGATGCTGCAACAATCCATCTGTCAATCTCACGCTCCATTCTTCCCTGACTTGTGAACAAAACCCTAAGATATTTGAACTTCTCCACTTGAGGGAGAACCTCACCCTCGAACTGAAGAGAGCAATCTACCCTTTTCCAACTGAGGACCATGACCTCAGATTTGAAGGTGGTGATTCTCATCCCAGTTGCTTCACACTCTACTTCAAATCGCTCCATTGAGAGCTGAAGATCACAGCATGATGACTCCATCAGGACCACATCATCCACAAAGAGCAGAGATGGAATCCTGAGGCCACTGAACTGGAAACCCTCCGCCCCCTGGCTGCGCCGAGAAATTCTGTCCATAAAAGTTATGAACATAATCGGTGACAACGAGCAGCCCTGGCGGAGTCCAACTCCCACCCTGAAGGGGTCCGACTTACTGCCGGCAATGTGAACCAAACTCTCGCACCGCTTGTACAGGGACCGAACAGCCCGTATCAACGGGCCCCAGTCCCAAACTCAAAGAGCACCCCCCACAGTGTACCTCAAGAAACACTGTCAAAATCCTTCTCTAAGTCCACAAAAGACTGGATGGGCAAGTTCCCATGACCTCTCAAGGACCCTAGTGAGGGTGAAATTCATTTTTAACATCATTTAAAAAACCTAAACCACTTTTTTCCCCAAAATCTTTTAGATGCTTTTGGGATCAAACGACAGAGGTAGACGGTATTTGAATTTTAAGGAGGCCCGATTTAGACTCCACCTGTTATCTAACCATTTCAAGATAATCTCACAGGAAATATCCCTGCCATTTGACATAATGGTGTGTTCTGAAGGATTTGTTGCACTAAGTAAATTGTCTGTTTTTCTGTGTGCAGAATGGTTTTTTGAGTTTGGTTTTGTAATCCCAAACTCAACCAACACATGGCAGTCCCTGATAGAAGCAGCTCCAGAGTCCCAAATGATGCCAGCAAACGTTTTAACGTAAGTCATCACTAATACGATTTTCTTATTTCTATTTTATTAAGCTAATTTCCTTTGCTTCAAAGTCAAACCATGAGCTGAACTTAATATCCCAGGTACACTTGAGTGGTGTTTTTCACGTCTAGTTCTCACGGTCCTTAGTCCTGCAGGTTTCAGATGAGTCATGTCTTCAGTAAATCATCAAGGTCATCTCATGTCTCATAATCAATCATTTAAAAGGATTTTATCAGAACCAATAGATAGATAGAAATTTGAGGCATCCAGTAGCATGTTCTAATTAATACAGGAAAAAAAAAAGCAAATGAAATAATCAAAAAAGCAGAATACACACATTTTTGGAAAGACAATATGCGCATGCACAAGGTGGTAGGTTGGAAGTACTACATTCATGATGATAGCCAGTATCCAAACAACATAGTTCAGTGTTTCCCCTACCATTATACAACCATGACATTGACCTTTTCTCTCTAGCCCCGCTAGAGAAACAAAAGGTCACTAATCTGGGGGTGATAATGGACCTATCTTTAAAACTCAACAGTCACGTAAACATGGTCAAATCCTGTTTTTTTCAGCTGAGACGGCTGTCTAAGCTGAAGCCTATACTCTCCAAAAAGAACCTTGAGACAGTGATCCACGCCTTCATAACATCTAGGCTTGATTACTGCAATTCACTTCTGTTTGGAATCAGTCAGTCCTCCATTGCTCGTCTACAACTGGTCCAAAATGCTGCAGCCCGATTTTTAACTGGTACAGGCTATAGAGAGCACATCACGCCAGTTTTGGCCTCCCTGCACTGGCTACCCATTCACCTTCGGATCCAATTCAAAATTCTCATGTATGTTTTTAAATCACTGAACAGTTCCGCCCCATCCTATCTCATTGATCTTCTGCAGCCATATGTCCCACCGCGCTCTCTGAGGTCAGCAGACCAGATGCTTCTCTCAGTCCCAGAAACCCGTCGTAAGCTCAGAGGTGACAGGGCTTTCTCTGTCGCAGGTCCACGACTGTGGAATGAGTTGCCACTGAGTGTCCGGCAGGCTCCCACACTCTCAGTCTTTAAGTCTCGCTTGAAGACCCACTTCTATTCTCTTGCCTTTAACACGGTGTGATTTGTTTTGGTCTGGACTGTACTCTACACTGTTGGCCATTTTAGTTAGCTTCTGCTGCTATTTGTATCTGTATTTCTATTTTATGCTTTCCTGTCCGCTGTGCATGTTTGTTTTCTTTTGTACAGCACTTTGGTTGGCCTTGTTGCTGTTTTAAGTGCTCTATAAATAAATTGGTATGGTATGGTAAGTGGGGTGCCCCACCCCATCAACAGAACTGATCACCCCACCTACCAAACTGAACTCCCCCTTCCCGGCACTGACATAGCGTCAAGCTAGTGGTGCGCAATACAGGCACTCTAGCTAAAAAGCTAAAGGCTGCCTCTTCTCTCATGCTGAACCCCTCCTCTCACACACACACACACACACACACACACACACACACACTCAAAAACTGTCTGTACAAACAGTGCACAGCCCAAATGTGTCACGCTAGCTAAAAAGCTAACAGCGCCTCTTCCCTCATGCTGCTCAGATGCAGCCACACCCCAAAATGGAAGTTGGTATTGGTACCTCACTTACTTTTCAAGTTATCATGCTCACAACATGCACAGATGGAAGGACAGAGGTGGTTGTTCAGTAGTTCCTTCAGTCAGAACTGTGCTGAAGAACAGTCAGTTCATGTTGTGCAAACATCTTATGGGTTCATGTTTCTCTCCGTTCTTGTGTTGCAGTGGTAACGTGATCATAGAGACCAAGTTCTATGATGATGACCTCCATGTAAGTACTTCCAAGGTACGACTATTTTACATCTGACCCCTGACTCAACCCTCCAAACTACTGACGTCCTGCTCGGTTGTAAAATAAACCCTGGAACTTAGCTCCAGTCTGCAGCGTCCACGGTTCTTTACCGTCCTGGGATCAACACATTTGGGTCAGGCTGGTGCCACCTTGAGTGAAGTGAGCTCTGTCATTCTCCTGTTTTCTGTTGGAGAACTTCTAAACCTCGGGACAAGAGGGACGACAAGGAAAACTATCCCCCGTCTGGTTTATCTTCCTCTGTAGGTCCATGACCACCAAAACAAGAACAAGACTGGAATAAAATGATTTGTTTTGATCAAACTTTTGTTGTTGAATCTGTCCAAGGTTGTATTAACTCAGGAAGGGAACACCAGGGAAGTCATTCCACACACTGTATACAACACGTCAAGCTAATGTTCAGTAATTCTTTCTTTATACAACTGCAGCATAAAACAAAATACTTCTCTCTTTGTCACAGCTGTCTCATCATATTGTAAAAAAAAATATGTCAAAGTTCAAAAGACAGTCTGTAGGAATGTTTATGACTTCTGGTTCGTAACAATTACTCTTCAGATGCCTTCTTTCTGTGACAGAGTGTTGGCTTTTAGAACCTGATATCCGTGAGAACTACAACTGTTGAAATGTTGTTAGTGGTCCCCAGTCCTGGTCTTCAGGTTCAACTTTCCTGCAGGTTTAATTGATTCCCTGACCATTTAAAACAGTCAACCCCCCTCACCAGGTCCTGGTTTTGCAGAAACCTGGCAAAGAGCCAATTCATGATAATTCTGTCTCTTTCTGGGATCTGGATCCCAGGAAAAGACAACTTTCCCCTCACTGATGAGAAACACTCAGCTGAGGCTCCTGTGGACCAGGACTGGACCATTGATGAGCAGCATTCTCCACAGTGGACATTTCTTACTTTCTGATAACACAACTGATTTTTTAGATCAGTCCAGGTCAGCACAGAACACCCCGACATGAACTTCACATAACCGTTTACATCTCTTGTATAAAAATTAAACAATTGTGGGACTTTAACCAGCAAACATGAGGTTTTAGAACAGTCGGATGTGATCTTTGAGTAAAGCTTTTCAGAGCACCCGTTTTCCACCCGTCTTTGATTCTGTAGTCCACCTGTCTATAGTCTGTCTCTGTAATCCACTTGTCTCTGTTTGATTAAGACATGCAGGACTGGCCCAGGGTCTTTGCTGTTTTTGGTCTAACATCCCCTTCACCATGTTTGACATTAGTTTTTTTTTTTCAGCCGTTAACTGAAGTGTTGTGTTTAAATCTGACAGATGTGAATTAAAATACTCCAAAGGTTTAATACGATGAAGTGTGTGCTGTCTTTATTTTACTGTGTTTAAAGTGTATTGACGGCATAATTCAGTGGAAGAGTTTGACGAATGTCATATGCTGAAAGTACGTACTCCTGACTACTCGAGGACGAGTGTACTCGCTTACTTCAAAGCAAACCTCAGTTCTGTTTGCTATTTTTCTGCTACTACACCTTTATCATATTACTCATCAAAATAATTAAATAAAATGTTCAAACAATACTGTTAGTGTTAATACTGTTATAGTAAACGTAATCAAATAAATGCATTAAATGGTCTACTTGTATAGCACCTTTCTATCAAGCTCTACAACACAACCTGTGCTCTCACTTACCTCCACACGACCAAACGATCTCTAGGTCGTCACCTCATCTGACGATGGAGTACTGATGAAAACCATAATGAAGAGAAGCCCATTTCTGAGTCAGATATGCATTTATTTAATTCTCTACAGTGTAGAGAAACATACACACATCCTGTTTGATAAGAAAACCAGTAATCGCATAACACAAATGTCACCTAATGAGCACATTTAAAAATAAAAACTTCTATGAGTGAGCTTCTAGTTGTTTGTGAGAAACATAAAGACGGTCTGCTGAACATTCCACTAAACTCAAGAGTTGAATCACGAGGGTCAAATACGACATTTTTCTGATTTCAATTATTTAAAAGAAACCTTAAAGAATATTTGTCTAGTTTTAAAAGTCATTATGTAAAGAAAGTTGGAACAGAGTTAATGTTCATTCTAGTCTCATTTTCTCTGGAACAAGATTTGAAGTTGAGTCTGTTATAAAACTGACAGAAAAGTGGATTATGTGAAAAATGACAGTGCTGCTTCCTGTGAGATCATCACTTCTCTAAAGGTGGTATGTAATTGTGCCGTGGTTGTTGGAGACTCAATGTTGTGAAAAACGTGAATATTCGGTTCCGTCTCACTGAATTCTGTTTTGAGACATCCTTCACCAACCAGCCCGGACAGACTCTGGTTTAACGCTGACCCAGAAACTGAACCCAGGACGGTGCAGACCAGTGGAAAACTGGAGGAATCGTGATGACAGGAACCATGGATGAAGAAATTGAACCGGGACACTGAAGAGATGAGGTGCTGATGTTCTCTGATGACCTCAGTCAGTTGGAGGAGCCTCCTGAGGTTCTCTGTTCACTGAATTAAAAGAAAGATTTAATGTTTAAACTTAATAGTGGTTCATTAAAAACTAATCCCTCAGAGAAAAAGTGAAAAAATAAATCACCTTCCTCTCTCGCCTTCATGCGAGCAACAAAGTTGTAGCTCTTGTTCCTGCGATAGTTCTCATAAGGATCATCTAGTGAGACCCCAACACCTTTGTACTGGTCCCACTTATCCCGAACATCACCTCCTTTGATAGGGTCTTGGATGCCTTGTTCTTTGGCCCCCAGGCCCCCGGTGCCACTCCAACCTACAGCCAGTAGAAAACATGTAAAGATCCAGACAGGGAGCAGGAACATTGTGTAGAACCAAACACAGCAGTGAAGGAACGCACCCATTTTCATCAGGAGCTGATGGCCCTTGTTCTCCTCTCCTAACCTGACATTTCCAGTCACTTTGGAGGGGGGAGACACCAAAGCTGAAGAGGATCTGAAGGACAGAGGACAGCTGGTCATGCTCAGCAGCTGACACCAGAAGTCTGTAATCAAACGGTTGACTCCAACTTACGAAGGGGAGGGGCTCCGAGACTTGGTGCCATGATGCCGCTTTGTGGGTGAACGAGAGCGGGATCTGGATCGGGAGCCAGAACGACTTTTAGATGACCTGGATCGACTCTGTGACCTAAAGAGAGTTAACTTGTGAAGTTATAATGCTCCAAAAACTGAAAAAAACAGTTTATGTGGTGAAATATTCTGCTACACGAAATGTGAAACAGATCAGCACTTGTCTCGGTCTCTTGTACGATCTCGTTACGCAGCCTCAGTTGTATTGATGCATTTAAAAAACATCTGAAGACACACTTATATAAACAGGCCTTTAGTTAGATGTTGAATTTTGTTATGTGCATTTTACTGTATTTTTCTATGCTTTTATATGTATGGATGGTTACCAGTATATGTATTTTGGTGTATGCTGCTAATATTTTTCTGCTTCTAGTGTGAAGCACCTTGTAACGTTATATCTATGAAACGTGCTAATTAAATAAACTTTACTTGCTTACTTATGTCGGCAGATCCCTAACAGAGTGGACCCCTAACAGAGTGGACCCCTAACAGAGTGGATCCCTAACAGAGTGGACCCCTAACAGAGTGGATCCCTAACAGAGTGGACCCCTAACAGAGTGGACCTTTAATAGAGCAGAAAATGTCCATAGTGTGAGCAAAAAAATGGGACAGATTCCAGGACAACAAGAGATCAATCCTGTGTCCAAAGTCAAAATTTGCATCTGTTCTTAATGTCGACACATAAATGAAAAATGTCACAATGTTAATTTTAATTTGATCATTCGTGTCTTGTTTTCTCTAAACAAGAAGCTCTAAAAATGTAAATTTAATGGTTCAAATCTAATTAAGAGATAAGCAAATCATTTTAAAATTATATTTAAACTAAAAAAAAAAAGTCATTTAGCCCCCTCCCCCATCTCTAACCTTGCCAAACAGAATCCACATTAAAATGTTACAAAAGAGAGAAACAGGTTTAATGACACAAGCTCCTGGAGTCTGATCAGAAGATGTATCTTTGGATAATATTTATTTTCCTTTATCAGCTGAACAGGTTGAGTATTTATGCTGTGGACTGGAGACCTGTCCAGGTGTCCCCGTCTCTCACACAGTGACTGCTGGAGATGGGCACCAGCGACCCGGCAAGGAAGAAATGGGTAAAGAAGATGAATGATTTCAGTAAAAACACAGTGTAAGATGTATGAGAGTGTTTGCAGACCTGGATCTGGACTCAGAACGTGAGCGACTACGGGAGCGGGATGATCGGGACCTTGACCTGGAGGACTTTGAGGAGTGAGAACTGGAGCGAGACGACGATCTTCCTCGGCTGCGAGAGCGACTCCTGGAGCAAGTGTCTCCAAGGCCGCTGAAAGGAGAAAGTAAAGTAGTACACAGATCTCAGACTAAATGTTGATGGGCTATGTTCCACTAAATAAATAAATAAATAAATAAATAAATAAATATAAAAACCGAAATAAAAGGCGTGGCTCACCTGTTGCGCTTCTCCTGCTCCTTTTTCCTTCTGGCTCTCATCTTGGCCCTGAAGAACTCGTACAGACCATTCTGCTCCCAACCTTCACTGGAGGACAAACAAACCACTGACAGCTGTAAACTCCTGAAAGATGACTCAGCATTACTGAGATCCTGCTTTGTGCTGTTTGACCCGTTCATAGAACCATATGTTCATGAGACGGCCTCCATGACTTTTGGTATTTATAACTTTCAAGCCATTCAATTTATATCACAATTTTTATTTTTTACTTTTATTATGTATTGTAGGCTTTGTTTTATAGTAGTTCCTCGCTACTTCACGGTTCGACTTTTGCGAACTCGCTCTTTCGCGATTTTTCAAAGTAAGACTAGACATGACACACAATTTGATGATTAATGGATGAGCCACGTGATCGACATGGATTTTTAAAATTTAAAATATTTTTTAATTATTTAGCACCTGCGTGCAGGAGCTCCCTCCTGCAGCAATGTGGTCATGATCTCAGCTCTGCAGCAGAGAAGTGTTACATATACACACACACATATATAAATACTAAAATAAACTACTACGTACTACTTGTACTACTATTCCTACTTTGTGGTTTTTTAACTCATCGCCGGAGGGCTGAGAACGGAAACTCCCGTGATAAATGAGGGACTACTGTAGTTCTATTTCTGTTTCTTCAACAAATTGCTACAGTATCATGTAGCACTCAGCATCCCCACAGCCTTTTCTCTGGAGCTGCAGACTCTCTGGTTGAGCGAGCTCTGGTGTGTGTACCTGTTTCTGGGTCGATCATGAGAAGGAGGGCTGTAGAAAGCCTCCACAGCTGCCAACAGACGATCACTGGGGGGCATAGGAGGGGGCAGCCTGATGTCCTTAGGGTCCAAAGATTTATAATCACAGTCCTCAAGCTATGTAGGAACAGGACAAGGGTTAGAAGACAGGCAGGCTTATTTTTATAACACACCTGACAAAAACAAAACCATAGAAAACTGTTAACCCGTAAAATTTTATTTTTATTTGACCTATGTTTAACCAGGTTAATCAGTTGGGAACAAATTCTCATTTACAGTGATGACCTGGCCAAATACTCTTGTCGGTTCGGTAGACAGGGTGCTTGGTTTTGCTGACAGGGCGGGGCGCCCTGCTTGTATAATGGTAGGAGAAACACTGCGATGAACGACCAAATGAGGTGCGTGCTTTAGGGATAAATAGGGTAATGTAGCTGCTGGAGCGGAGGGTACGCAGGTTGCTACGGATATTTTATAACCGGTGTGTGAGCTCTTTGTATGACAGAGAACAAGGCCAGAGCTAACAGATCTTACTCTTCAAGCAGAATGAAGCGACTTACTTTGACCAGTGGAGCCATGAGTCCTGCAGGCAGATCAAAGTAGGGCACGTTGGGAACCAGACTTGGGTCATCCTGAACCGGCTGCTGCCGTTGACGTATGTGAGGTGAATGGCCATTGAAACCAGGTGGAGGCGGGCCCAAGTCTGGGCGCTGGCCTCCAGCCCAGGGCACATGATCAGCTCCCATAACTGGTGGAGGAAGCCTCTGAGCGGGAGGGTGGTGGTGGTGGTGGGGTGGAGGAGGAGGAGGAGGAGGAGGAGGACCTGGCATGTCTGGCAAACACAGCTTAGTTTAAAAATCACTCAGGATTATGACAGCAATCGGACCGTTTTACTGCTCGGTTTGTGTCTCGCTACCCACCTCCAGGAAACTCCCCTCCTTGAGGAAAGTCAAAGCGATGCGGGGTGTACGGTGGTCTTTCATAGTGGTGTCTGGAAGGGAAGTCGTCTTGCATAAAGCGCGGGGGGAAACGTCCAAAATTGTGTGGGGGCGGGGGAGGCTGATTGAAAGGAGGTGGCTGCTGGTGGGGAGGAAAGGGTCCTCTGAAATGGGGAGGTCTCTGGAGAAACAGAGTTAGGAAAGGTCATTCACAAAACTGAGCAGAATAGTTCTACTTTCACCTAAACCCAAGGAATAGGTGGTGGTGGTGGGTTCTGACATATTCAGAACATGTTTAAACCTCTTAATCCTTATTATTACAAAACTGTTTTCAATCTGCCCGTTTTCATTTCTAAAAGCTATTCCAGAAGAATAAATCATTAACATATCGGCTGCTGCGATGTGGACAACAAAATAACGTGAACATGAAAAAAGGCCTTGATTTTCAAAAACTGACTGAGCAACACATGGTTACACAGCCCACTGTGTCGCAAACACTCAGGTTTCACTAAGTGCAACAAAGAATTGCACAATTTTCCCACAATTCTCTAGAACTTTTGGAGATGATGACTGTACAAAGGAGGATTCTTCATAAAACGAAGAACATTATAGACAACCCTCAGCATCCTCTTCATCAGAGTTTCATACAACAGAGTGTCTTCAGTCAGAGGCTTCTTCAGATCCGTTGTAACACAGACCGCTACAAGAGATCCTTCCTTCCCACAGCCATCAGCATCTAGAACAACTCTTTAATGAAACCAGTATGAGTTAAAATATTTAATTTCCTCTGGGATTAATAAAGTATTTTTGAATTGAATTGAACTGAATTCTGAGTCTCTGGCTAGCCAACAGTTGCAGCCCACTGAGATACTAGCTACTGCTGCAGCCTTTAGAGCCATAAAGGAACATGCTCATCCTACACCAAAAATACATGAATACAGTGACCCCACACTCTGCAACAAGACCAGAACCAAAGTGGAGGAAACCCTGAAGAAAGTGAGGTCACTTTAACGTGATGACTGGCCATCCATCGCCACCAGATCTTCTTAGGTCTCTGTTCTCAAAATTTTGACTTTTTATGTCCTAAAAATCTTGTTTGAATGAAAACTGTTTTCTGCTGCTGTGTAGAGAAAACTATTTAGACTTTCTGCACAGGATTTAGTGTAAAGTGCGATACAGATACATCAATAATAGTTTTAAAATCATATGAACTAATTAAATTGTGATGTGCCTAAAAAGATTCCCACCTCCTGCTCCAAGTAAAGCAGAGAAGAGAACCCTGTTGAGACTTGAAACATTCCCCTAAAAGCAAACAACCAAATAAAAAGCCGACAGTAACTTTCCACATACCTGCATGCAAGGAGGAAACGGGGGATCCCTATGACTCCAAGGAGCCTGGTCTGGCTGGTTGCCCCAAGGAGGCTGCTGGTCAAAGGAGTTCCATGATGGAGGGCCAGGGTCAGTCCCTCCTGGACCACTCCAGGAACCTCCTTCTCTTGGAGGGCCTCCGCTCCAGTTTCCTGGTTCCCTCTGTTCGTTCCACATACCCTCATGGCTGTTCCACGGAGGGCAAGGAGGGGGAGGTTGTTTGGGGTCAAAGGGAGGCTGGAAAAGGTCAAGGATTATGAAGAAAGTGAGTGATGTCAAACATTACAGAGTTGCACCTTAACCATTCTAGATAGGGTCAGAAGGAGAAAAGTCTGGACTCATTATGGTGTTCTGAGAACACGAAGTACCTTCATCAAAACACTTCCTGTCCAACTGTTCTTTGTTCCCTTCTATAAGAACCTTTGGAACAAAAGGACCTTTGTACAGATCTAGAACCGCAGCCTAGTAGTTCTAAACTTTTTGTTGTAGCAACAGAAACCATGACCAATAGTTGTTCATACAATCGGCTCCTGTGGTACTTTCTGAGCACCAAAGAAACCAGTGAGTAACAGAGTGGAATAAGACGGGTCCAATCATAAACACCAGTTCATATGGTACTGTGTGACTTGAGTTGGTTTTAGAATGGTGAGGGTACATGGTGAGCAGAATTTGGAAATAAAATGACAAACATAAAGACATTTCCTAAGGTCACTTCACGACGGAGAGCTTCAGTTCTGAAAACCCTTACAGAGGTCTTAGGGTGCATTCACACTAGCCCTGTTTAGTCCGCTTTAATCGAACTCTAGCTCCTTTTCCTAGAAAGTCCGGCTCGTTTAGGGAGGTGTGAACGCACCATCGAACTCTGTCACGGAACAAAAAGGCGAACTCTGGCCCGGGCTAAAACCTAGGTCTCGGTCCGGTAGAAGCGAACTCCAGCGCGGTTCAAGTACAGTGTGAATGTAAACAGACCGGACCCCGCTCCGCAGGGTGAACAAACACGCATTTCTCTGACCTTATATGGAGCCGTCAGCTGCCTTGTGTGAAAAACAACATTCTCCAGGGTCTTCTGTCTCATCGTCTGCTCATGCTAAGTCCATTTTTGAAAAATGACAAAATATAACTCCTAAAACTTGATGCCACTTCGTTTTTATTTTTATTTACAGAAGAAGAAGACGTGTCTTCAGAGGTTTATGTGTCGTTTCTTTCAGTAGTTCTTGGTGCAGCGCCCCCACAGGCGAGCGAGGGAATAGGTTGGTTCAACAGGTTGACTCGACTGCACAGTGCAGTGTGAATGCAAACGCACCAGCTCACATGTAAACAAAAGGTCATGAATATTGGTCCCGAACAGAGTCTACCAGACTATCGGTGTGAAAACGACCTTAGACCTGGTTCTACCTGCCTCGTACCAGGGAGTGAAAACAGACGGACAGATCTACAGACTGTGGAGGGGATTTGTACATGTCAAAGATTATTTACTGCCTGTGGCTGAAACGCATGTTAGGGAAATTTTGGTCAAAGGTTGATGTTTTTAAATACTATGGCTGAGAATGTGAACTCTGCCCATGAACCATATGTTTGGGTTAGCAGAGAAAGCTGGATGAGGAGCTGGGTGAGGCTGCAGGCATGCAGCTGTCGCTCCAAGGACACCGCCGAGTCTGTGAGCTCGGCGGAACTGATAAGATTACCGTAAAAAAACAAGCTACACAAAGAGCTCAAGGCAGATTCTGGTGACTAGTCTTCATGTGTGCACTTCCTGTATATCTGTGTAACCTGTCCTGAAAAGCTGACCTTCAAGTAAACGTCGGTTAAAAATCTTCTCCTGCTGTCGATTGTGGTTCCTTTTGAGTAAGTTAGGTAACTTGAGAATATGGTTCTCCAACAACACATAATCTTTGTCCAGTGTCCCTGTGTGTTTGTCTGTTAGTAAAATATCTCATGAACCACATGCCACGTTTTAATGAAATTCTCAGAAAGTAATCACTGAATGTGCCTCTAAAAGTGACTTAATTTGTGAAGTCTGAAGTCATGTTATTCCCTCCCAACGACACGATCACAAACCACTGTATCGACCTCTCCGCTCTAACCCTGTCAGAAAAACAAAGAGTCACTAATCTGGGCGTGATAACGGACCCTTCCCTGAAACTTAACAATCATGTAAACATGATTGTTAACTCATGTTTCTTCCAACTGAGGCGGCTGTCTAAACTGAAGCCCATATTGTCCAAAAATAACCTGGAGACAGTAATACATGCATTCATTACATCTAGGCTTGATTACTGCAATTCACTCCTGTTTGGTATCAGTCAAACCTCCATTGCATGACTACAACTGGTCCAGAATGCAGCAGCCCGATTTTTAACCAGTACAGGCAAAAGAGAGCACATTACACCAGTTTTGGCCTCACTGCACTGGTTACCAGTTCACCTTCGAATCCAGTTCAAAATACTCATGTATGTCTAAAAATCGCTGAACAGTGTCGCCCCCCCATCTCTCTGATCTGCTACAGCCGTATGTCCCACCACGCCCCCAAGGTCATCGGACCAGTTGCTCCTCACAGTTCCAGGAACTCGTCTTAAGCGCAGAGGTGACAGGGCCTTCTCTGTAGCAGGACCAAGACTTTGGAACGAGTTACCTCTGCTTGTCAGACAGGCCCCCCTCCTTCTAGGTTTTCAAGTCCCGTTTAAAAACCCACTACTATTCAATAGCTTTCAACACCAGAGGATCTGTGTTTTGAACCTGTATGCCCCACACTGGTTAGTCGTCATTATCTGCATCGTATGGTAATTTTAGAATCAATTCAATTTTAAGATGGCCACCTAAACCACAACAGAAACAGCTATAACTGTCACAGTTTTACAGATATTAAATTATCTCTGGATGAGGATGTATCTGATGGCAGGCAGAAACTATTCATAGCACCTTTCAGGAAAACATCTGGAAATATTTAGGTGTTTGTATGCTCTGTAATGTTGCACTGATATAGATTAGAAATAAATCTACAGTCAGACATTATGCACAAAGTCTGCTTCCTCTTGTGTATTCCCAATTTCCCCACACAAAGACAAGTGGTTACCGGCTGGTTGGGGTTCCAGGGTCCCACATGCTGGGGTTCAAACCATGCAGGCTTGTTAGTGGGGATTTCTGACGGTCCACTGGGGTTTTTTGGGTCCTGCGGTCTAGCTGCAGATCCATCAAAGTCTCCTGAAGTAGGACCGGTCACAGGAGGTTTCCCTTCTCCTGGACACAAAATATTGAAACAAAAGAAACGGTGTTAAACCCTCCAAAGCACCTTCAGCCCAATTTTTCAAACAATTCACTGAATTTAGCACATCGTCTAAAGATGGAGTTGACAGGTCCATTGTTGTCTGCTAAACTTTCTTCTCTTATACTGGTTTGTTTCAGCAGATTTCTGCACCACAGACCTGCAGCCACTGCCTTTTCTGGAAAAAGTTGAACGGACTGTGTTTGTGTGGAAGCTCTCTTCAGTTCTTCATATTCTATTAAATTCAGTTTATTTATGTAACGCCAAGTCACAACAGAAATCATCTCAGGGCACTGAACAGAAACATTCATAATTAGTAACATTATTTATCTAAGGAAGGAAACCAGCAGATCGTGTTGAGTCCATATGTGTGTACGTAATAATCAGAGCAGGAGGATTACTTAAATCAGCAGCAGTAAACATGTTTTCATTTGAAATAAAATCTCTCATTTTGGATAGAATTTCTCTGGCTATACTAAAAAGAGTATCCCCCTACCACCACCACATTGATATTTTTTTTAATAATTTGTCAGACTACAGGAGATTTAAAAAACATTCCTCAGTTGGACTTTTGACAAAAAAAGTTTTGATGACATTTTTGAAGTGGTTTTGTCCTCACCAGCTGGGGTGGTCATGGGTGGGACTTTTTCAGAGTCAGCTGGGGTTCCCACCTGACCCACAAGAGCAGGCTGGGACTGCTGCTGCAGACTCGTGACAAACTCTTCGTGTTGGGTCTTCAAAGCCTGGATCTGCTGCTGGAAGGCCAGCTGGATGGGCTGCACCACTGTAGCGTACTCTGTTATCAGGGAGGCCTGAGACACACAACAAAGAAGAGGTCAAAAAGATCACCAAACACTTCACTTTGCAGAATCAGGGATTCACAAGCATCTAAATGTGAGGACCAACACATTTATTTATGTTTTTAGACACGAGCAACAACAGGTGCAGCTCACTCAGTGCAGACTAAGATGAATACATTGGTGGACAGAGCTTATGATACTTAGACATTTTAAACGATTTCCTTTCATTCTCTTTAGGAGATCAAGCAGGTAAATAAAAATGACCTGGGGACTCGCGTACAAAGAGGTCTGTGAACTTCTTTGAAACATGGCGAAAGCTCAAAGTGAAAACATGGTTTAAACCCAAGTCTGAACCTGTGCATGAATCTTTTTCAGCCTGGTCCTCCTAAGAGTTCTGATCACAAACACGATGGTGTGGTTTGGTGTGAAACTGACAGGAATCAGATCAAAGCTGCTTTGTACATTAGTGAAATTCAGAGTTGTTTACAAGTGGATGTGCCGGAGAATTTTTGGTCAAATGTTATGGATGTTTTTATTAAAATGGCTGAGCATCTTATCTCGGTGAACTCGGCTGAACTGATAAGGGTGTAAAAGCAAGCGGAGGGGGCAGCTTGATGCAGATTCTCGTGGCTGGTCTTCATGTGTACATTTATGCAACATGTCCTGAAAATCTGACCTTGCAACTAAAACCCTGGTTAAAAATCTTCCCCTGCCATCAAGTGTGGTTCCTTTTGGGTAAACAACGTAAGCGAGAATAATTTTCTCCAACAGAACATCTTAAAAACAGCTGCGTCTCCTCCACCACATCCACAAGTCCTTTTAAATAAGCGGTCTACAGATAAAAAAGAACAGCTGGAACAGTGACACGCCAACATGTTTCAGTCAGGTTGTCAAAATAATACTTTAACGGCACATTTAAGATTTATTTTTAATATTTAAATGCAAAATTAAACAACAGAAATAACACCTCCAGTTTACCAGGGGGTATATGAATAAAGGTAGAAGATTCATGGGATTGTAGACAACCTCCCGTGATGTGGACACGAGGAAATGCAACTCCAAGTTGATCAGGCAGAAGAAGAGTCAAGACCATCCAAACCATTCAAGGTGAACTTCAAGGTCAAAGTTCATCACTTTTTGATCCTTCCATTAGTCACATTTTGAATCATAATGATGGAAGACGACCCAGGAGGCTCCAGTATCAGCAGGAAAAACACGAAAAACAGACAGAAATCCACCAAAATGTTGACAAGAACCAAAGTTTCAGGGATTGATGTAACGGCTGCTTTAGTAAAATAAAAACATTAGTAACTGATGACAGCACTGACGCTTTACCATGGTCTCAACTCTCATCAGTTCTGCACCACACCTCACCTTGCCTGCCCACTGCTGGTACTTACCCCCACTCAGCCCAGTCTATAGGACCACCTTGTTTGTGGTTCCAAGCGGACTGCTTCGAGGTGCCAGTTTTAATGTAAGCAGACAGCAGCTGTTGATTGGCCAGTGGAGCTACATCACTGGATGACCCGCCCAGCTACACTAAGAACTACAACTGATCCTCCACTTCCTCATCGTGCTGGCGGATGGTGAGACATTTTGAAGACGATGGTACAGAATGGCTACACCCAGACTTATAAGCAGTGCTGGAATAAGTGTGATGTCCGATTATAGGACAATTAAGGACCACAACAGGCAGAGTAGCTTGAAGAATGACCTGTTATGACCCCGCTCAAAGAGCAGGGAAACAAGTCACAGTGGCAAATCACCTCCACCTGAGAAGAACCGAGAAGCCGAAAGTCGAGTGGAGTCGCACTTATCAATGGCAAAGTGGTTCATTTTATTTGTGTAGAGCTGTATTTTCAAAACGGAAAGATTTGCCAACAGATTTCCAGTCCTAAAATCGCTTAAGTAATTTTACTATCTCTGAAAATCGATACACATTTTAGTTTGACCTGAGGCTTTGATGTTCTTTGCTGGTAGACATTTCTGAAGTTAGTGTTGGATCAAAAACGGTTTGGAGGTGAAAGCAATGTGTTCATATGATCAGTAAGATTCAAAGAGTCTGTCACAAACACAAGGACTCTTCCAAACTGGGACAATATGAGAGCTGAAGGAAAACTATTGCTTTCATTCCAGTGGTCTTATTATGGTATGATCCCTGACCTGGTACTGGCCAAGGCCCAGTGCTGGGTTCTGCAGCTGCTGAATGGTCTCCTCATCAAAGTAGCCATTCTTCTCCCAGAGCTGCAACAACTGAAGACACAAGAGAAGAGCATTTAGTGTATGCTGATGTTTCAGGTGGTTCAGGTGACACTGAGAGCTACCTACCCTGGTGATCTTCTGCTGCTTCTCCTCCTCTACAGCCAGAAAGCTGGTACAATAGATAGGCACAACAACTTTCTGCAGCGCCATCAACAAATCCTTCTGCTGCTTCCGCTGGCTGCCAGAAAACAAAGAAACATATCAAATGAGAAAAACAAACAAAATAAACATAAACCGCTTCATGACACAACCAAAACTCAGACGTTTTAATTGTAGCTGTACTGTAGTTTTATCTAATCATTCAGTTTATAACCTGTGAAGAAACCTAAAAAGCAGGTCTTGTGTGCCCAAACTAAAACCTTTAAATATTAGTCAAAACCCAAAGAGGAAACAGCTAAGAACAGAGTTACGCCATCACTTCTCAGGAGGAACATGAGGACTTTGGATACCAGTGATGGAGGACGTCATTGGTTAAGTAGATGAGGTGTAGGCGGAGCTCGAAATGTGCCTCATCCGCAGCGATGCGGTTGCGAAGATGCGATGCCATCAGTTCACAGTGCTGTGGAGACTTGGCGTTGTTGAACATCCAGTTCTTCCCAGCCTGAGAGGAAGACACAATTCCATCAAGGTTTTTGTGTTTTCATGCTCTACGTCAGGATCTTCACGAGGCGTGCTTACAGAGATGGCGTCTTTGGTGCAGGTGTCGATGATCGGCTGCAGGAGGTTGTCAAACTCTGTGATGTCCAACTGAGTTTCCAGCAGAAGCTTCTGGTTCTGCTGCTCCATGGCCAAGGCAATGGCAGCAGTCACTTGTTCCTATGTTCAGAAACGTGTCAGAATGAGAAGAAAACAAAATTATTATAATCTGCCAGCCCCTAATCTCGTCACGCATCTTTAAGGTGTCATCGGAGATGTAGTGTTTGTTCTGCCACTTGAGTCTTGTGTGTCACCCTGCAGCGTTGCCATTTCAGAATAAAACTAGAGACGCACCGATTCTAGTTTTTCAGATTCTCATTCAGCAGCTGAACAAGTTAACCCTTGTTTGGCTGCAGAAAGGTGAGACGCTCGCTTGTTTGGAACTAAACAACATGTAGCATTAAAAGTACACTGGATAATCTGAGATAGGGTCAGTCAGTGTTTGCCCTAGATATAATCCCTAACTTCAGGTTTCACCGTGGGACGCTCATCCGAAAATAAAGTTTACAAAAAAAAACTCCTCCAAATTATCAGTCAGAGATAAGTCCAAACAATTCTAGTTTATCTGCTTTAAGACCCATCAAACTCCTTAATATTTTTAACTTCAAAACATTGTGCTTTTTTTTTCTTTAAAATTATTACTACCTGTATTTTTCTTTGCAAGCAATAAAAATTATGTGTACACCAATAGTATGATTTGATGAATTACTAAAATAACCAATAGTACTATTGTTTTGAAACACCCCAAAAATATATTGGATGATTTATTTATAAAGTATTTTGATCTTCTCACTGTAGTGTAATCTTTTGAGTTTCTCCAGAGACTCTTAGTATGAAGAAAACTCGCACATTTTATTTATTTTGTTTAGAGTAGGTTGCTACATTGCATACAAGGGGCGGCAGTGGCTGAGTGGTTAGAACAGTTGTTCTCCAATGGGAAAGTTGGGAGTTCAATTCCACCAGCAGTCACATGTTGAAGTGTCCCTGGGCAAGACACTGAACCCCTCATTGCCTCTGATGTGTGTCCCATCGATGTATGAATGTGATAAAGCTCTGATTATTATTTGTAAAGATCTAGTAGTGCGCTGTATGAATGGGTAAATGAAGCACAGATTGTAGAGTAAAGCTCTTTGAGTATCTTGATAAGACAGAAAGGTGCTATATAAGTGTAGTCCATTTACCAATTATACTATTAAATTAATGTAATTAAATGTCAAACATGCAAAAGTATTTTTAGCACTGTTTGTGAAGTTTGCCTGTATTGTTATCAATCTTTTTTTCCAGCTGCTCCCTTCCTCAAGGCTCGCCACAGTGAACTAACTTAAACAAAGACCTGGCAATTGATAATACGCAAGATACCCTTCCTCACACAACCACAGACCACCGAGCTACCACAGCCCTGTGTGGAGCAGGCAGCTAGAGGGGCAAATGAGGGTGGAGGCAGGTGTGGGTGCTTCACCATTCCCACCCACATTTTGATGTTATGGTGTGGGGAGTTGAACCGGTGACCTTCTGATCACAGGTTAACCTTCTCTAACCTGCGTTTTAAACGATCAAGTATTTTTGGCAACAAGAAAGTTCATTTTAAAACATAACCTTCACAATGTGAATGTTCACAAATCAAAATGTGATTTACAGAAATCAGTCAGGATTATTTATTAATGCTAAACCAACTATTAGTTATAATTATTTTGAGTCATTATCCCTCAGTCTTTCTAATCCAATATGGAAATCAGAAAAAAACACTTTTACTAGTAGTTATTAATCATCCACCAGGCCCTTGCTCTCAGTTTTTGTCAGAATTCTCAGAATTTTTGTCTGAATTATTGAATACTGAAAAAGTCTTAATAATGGGGGATTTCAATATTCATGTAGATGTTGAAAGTGATCGTTTAAGAAAAGTCTAATATTTTAATAGTCAATGAGTTTTAGATGAGAGTGCTGAGACCAAGTTAAATTCAAAGCAGTCCGTTTCTCAGATAGTGTTAACTTACTTTTTAAATATATGTTTCTATTCAGTGTCCTGAGATGACTTCTGTTGTGACTAGGCACTATATAAATAAACTGAACTGAATTTTACCCAAAATGTCCACACATCTACTCATTCTCATCATCACACTCTCGATCTGATCCTGACATATGGCATAGACACGAAGTACTTATTAATATATACTCAAAATGTTCTGTCTAACCATTTTTATTAACCTCTGAGTTTACAATAAATGACTAGACTACACAGCCACAGAGTGAATTTCATCTTAGCAGGTGTTTATCAGAGAATGCAGAAACCAGATTTAAAGAATCTCTTCCGTTGTCGTTTTCCTCTGTCTTGCAGCGAAATAGAACAGAGATAAGTGACTTAGATGATCTTGATGATAATTTTGTAACTTCAATGCAAACCTCACTTGATAAAATTGCTCTGCTGAAAAAGCAAGTGATCATCAATCAGAGGAAGCTGGCTCCTTGGTATGTACTTTAAAACAAGCATCTAGAAAACTGGAAAGAAAATGACGCTCCAGTAATGTGGAAATTCAAAAAAGTTCAAGACAAAAACAACTGGACTTTATTTGTAACAGAAGTTAGAAATTAGTCTTCCACTAATGTGGAAGAATTTTGTTTACCTTGGATAGCCTGCTAATTTATACAAACCGGATTCCAAAAAAGTTGGGACACTAAACAAATTGTGAATAAAAACTGAAGGTAATGATGTGGAGATGGCAAATGTCAATATTTTATTTGTAATATAACATAAATGGCAGATAAAAAGTGTAATCTGAGTAAATTTAACATTTTAAAGGAAAAATACGTTGATTCAAAATTTCACAGTGTCAACAAATCCCAAAAAAGTTGGGACAAGTAGCAATAAGTGGCTGGAAAAAGAAAATTGAGCATATAACGAACAGCTGGAAGACCAATTAACACTAATTAGGTCAACTGACAACAAGATTGGGTATAAAAAGAGCTTCTCAGAGTGTCAGTGTCTCTCAGAAGCCAAGATGGTAAGAGGATCATCAATTCCACCATTGTTGCACAGAAAGATAGTGCAGCAATACCAGAATGGTGTTACCCAGCGTAAAATAGCAAAGACTTTTAAGTTATCATCATCAACCATGCATAACATCATCAAAAGATTCAGAGAATCTGGAACAATCACTGTGCGTAAGGGTCAAGGCCATAAAACTCTACTGGATGCTCGTGATCTCCGGGCCCTTAAACGTCACTGCGCCTCAAACAGGAATGCCACTGTCAAGGAAATAACAGAATGGGCTCAGGAATACTTCCAGAAAGCATTGTCAGTGAACACAATCCACCGTGCCATCCGTCGTTGCCAGCTGAAACTCTACAGTGCAAAGAGGAAGCCATTTCTAAGCAAGCTCCAGAAGCTCAGACGTTTGCACTGGGCCAGGGATCATTTAAAATGGAGTGTGGCAAAATGGAAGACTGTTCTTTGGTCAGATGAGTCACGATTTGAAGTTCTTTATGGAACACTGGGACGCCATGTCATCCGGACCAGAGAGGACAAGGATAGCCCAAGTTGTTATCAACGCTCCGTTCAGAAGCCTGCATCACTGATGGTATGGGGTTGCATGAGCACTTGTGGCATGGGCAGCTTGCATGTCTGGAAAGGCACCATTAATGCAGAGAACTATGTTCAGGTTCTAGAACAACATATGCTCCCATCTGGACGTCATCTCTTTCAGGAAAGACCCTGCATTTTTCAACACGATAATGCCAGACCACATTCTGCAGCAATCACAACATCATGGTTACGTAGGAGAAGGATCCGGGTACTGAAATGGCCAGCATGCAGTCCAGATCTTTCTTCTATAGAGAACATTTGGCGCATCATAAAGAGGAAGGTGCGACAAAGAAGGCCCAAGACGATTGAACAGTTAGAGGCCTGTATTAGACATGAATGGGAGAGCATTCCTATTTCTAAACTTGAGAAACTGGTCTTCTCTGTCCCCAGACGTCTGTTGAGTGTTGTGAGAAGAAGGGGGGATGCCACACAGTCGTAAAAATGGACTTGTCCCAACTTTTTTGGGATTTGTTGACGCCACGAAATTTGGAAACAACAGATTTTTTCCCTTAAAATGATACATTCTCTCAGTTTAAACTTTTGATCTGTGATTTGTGTTCTATTCTGAATAAAATATTAGATGTTGGCACCTCCAAATCATTGCATTCAGTTTTTATTCACAATTTGTTTAGTGTCCCAACTTTTTTGGAATCCGGTTTGTAAAAAAAAGCTCTCTGTAAAGCAAGAACTGTATATATATATATATTTTTTTTATAGAAAATAAAAATAACTCCAGGTTTCTGTTCAGTACTATAGCTAGACTAATGAAAAGTCATCTCTCTGTTGAGCCATGTATCTCGATCTACGTCCCTACCCTCATCTATGGTCATGAGCTTTGGGTTGTGACCGAAAGAACGAGATCACAGATACAAGCGGCCGAAATGAGTTTTCTCCGCAGGGTGTCTGGGCTCTCCCTTAGAGATAGGGTGAGAAGCTCGGTTATCCGAGAGGGACTCAGAGTAGAGCCGTTGCTTCTCCACATCGAGAGGAGCCAGTTGAGGTAGCTCAGGCATCTGTTTAGGATGCCTCCTGGACGCCTTCCTGGTGAGGTGTTCTGGGCATGTGACGTCCCACCGGGAGGAGGCCCAGAGGAAGACCCAGGACAAGATGGAGGGACTATGTTTCTCGGCTGGCCTGGGAACGCCTTGGGATTCCCTCGGAGGAGCTGGCCCAAGTGGCTGGGGAGAGGGAAGTCTGGGCCTCCCTACTTAAGCTGCTACCCCCACAACCCAACCCCGGATAAGCGGAAGAAAATGGATGGATGGATGTCTCTAATGAATGGTTACATACCACAGTGTTTTAAGGTTGCTTTAATTCAACCCTTACTTTAAAAATCTGATCTTGATTCAGGAATTCTGGCCAATTATAGACCTATATCTAATCTAACAGTCATCTCAAAAATCTTGAGGAAAATATTTGCAAATCAGTTGTGTGAACATCTGAACAGACATAATCTGTTTGAGGAGTTTCAGTCAGGGTTTGGAGCTCATCATAGCACAGAAACAACACTGGTGAAAGTCACTAATGATATTCTCATGGGCTCAGACAATGGACCTGCACTGGTCCTGTTAGACCTCAGTGCTGCATTTGATACAGTTGATCACAATATTCTACTACAGAGGCTTGATTATGCTATATGGATTACAGTAACGGCTCTAAAATTGTTTATATCATACTTATTTCATAGATTCCAGTTTGTAAATGTAAATAATGAATTTTCTTCATACATCAAAGTTAGTCATGGAGTTCCTCAGGGTTGTGAGCTTGGACAAATACACTTTATATATGCTTCCATTGGACAAATTTATTAAACAGCATCAGATAAATTTTCATTGTTATGCCGATGACACAATATTTGTCCATGAAACTCAATGAATCCAATCATTTAATTAAATTACAATCATGTCTTAAAGACATAAAAACCTAGATGACCTGTAATTTTGTTTTTAAACTCAGACAAGACTGAGGCTGTGGTTTTTGAACATGAGCATCTTAGAAATAAACTTTGTAGCCTTTGACTTCAATGGCATTAATTTGGCCTCCAGGTCTAATGTTAAAAACCTCTGTGTAATTTTTGATCAGCATATGTCTTTTAATCCCCACATTAAAAGTTACCAGGACCGCTTTCCTTCACCTGCGTAATATCACTAAGATTAGAAACGTCTTTTCCAAAAATAATGCAGAAAACTGGTCCATGCATTTATCATGTCAAGACTAGACTATTGCAATGGCTCATTATGTAGGTGATCAAATATTTCTTGAAAAAGTCTTCAGTTGATCCAAAATGCTGCCAGAGTTTTAATGAGAGTTGGTAGGAGATATATTTATCCAGTTTTAGCTTCTCTCCATTGGCTCCCTGTCAAATTCAGAATTCAAATCTTAATTCCAACATACAAAGCTATAAACAACTATAGCTCCATCTTATATTAAAGATCTTATTGTTCCATACTTTCCTAACAGAGCACTTCACTCTCAGACTAAAGGTTTACCTGTGGTTCCTAGTTTCAAAAAGGAGAATGGAAGGCAAAGTTTTCAGTTATCAGGCACCTCTCTTTTGGAATCAACTTCCAGTTTATGTCTATGAGGCTGCTGAAAACTTGTCTACTTTTAAAATGTGGCTTAGGTCTTTCCTTTTTGATAAACCCTATAGTTAGGGTTGGCTTGGGTTTCCTGAGATATCCCTTAGATCAGCTGGTATAGGCTTTAGACTGCTGGAGGACAAATCTACCACATTTCCTCACTCTGCTGCTGTCTTTACTTGCTCTACTCTACCCGTTTGTATTTGTAATAATTTATATCCTTAACATGTTTTTTGTCTTTCCTCAAATAGAAAGTCCACCTGGACTCGTCATTCTGTGTTTGTTTGCATCTCCTTCTTGTCCTCTCATGCCCCAAGCCAGTCGAAGCAGGTGGCCTCTTGTCCTGAGCCTGGTTCTGCTGGAGGTTTGTTCCTTTTAAAAAGGGAATTTTTTTCTTTCCACTGTTGCCTTTGTGGTGGCTCAGGATGGGAGACTGCAATGAAGTGAAGATTCAACACAATCTGCTGTCTTCCTTAGCTAGATAACAAGATAACGAATTGGCTTTTTTAATATATGTGACTGTTTTTCTACAGTGCCGAGATGACTTCTGTTGGGATTTGGAGCTATAGAAATAAACTGTTGCTAACGGGGCCATATTGCTAAGAGAACCTTGCTGCCAACAGAACCACTGCAGATAGGACAATACTGCTGTAGATGTTTGTTTTTTTCACTTTTGGTGCCTTGTTTGTTTATTTTTGTTGCATGCTTTGGTATTTCTTGTTGTTTGTTTCGGCAAGTCGTGACGGTTCTTCTCATCCTGAGCATTTCAATGCATTGTTGATCTTGTGTTGATCTGCATATGACAATAAACCTAAACTGAAATGATATGAGCATTTATTGAATCACATTTATGACAGTAGTGTTGTCGTTTCCAAATATAAGCAAGCTTTTACATCCACACAGCCAAAATCTTGTTTTTGTTGCTATAATCCCATGCATAATGGAAATGTGCAGATTTTTATCATAAACTACAAACACACACACACACACTCAGAGTCTTGTTGCCTACTGAAACTTCATTGCTCAAAAAGGACAGTGCAAAACAACTATTTTATTTTTTTGTCTTTCTACCTGTTGTAGTGCCTCTGACTTTTTCTATCTTTATTCGAACAACATTCAAACGATATTGACCTGACTCTGTAAAAACTTTACATCCAGGTGATACCTGTCTGAGTGTGTGAAGGTGCTGCTCCTGTTGCTGCAGATTCCACTGGCTCTGCTGGATGAGCTCATCAACAGGAGCGGCAACAGCAGCAGCAGCAACAGCAGCAGGTGGAGCGACTGGAGGCGGAGTCACCATCTGGATTGGAGGAGGCGGGATATCCCCCATGTCTTTCGCAGTGGGGATGTACAAATCTACATAAAACAAAAAGCAAAACAGCTGTGTGGGTCTGAAGGATCATCACCAAAACCTACAAGGCAGTCTGTCATGAACAAGATAACACAAACTTAACTAAACTAACTCTATCAAAGTTCATGAAAGTTGCTTCATTGAAGAATGTAAAAATATAACCGTATGATCAGTGTCTTTCAGTGTGTGGACAGTGTCTCGGTGCGTGGACAGTCTCTTTCAGTGTGTGGATAACCTCCTTCAGCATGTGGACAACCTCGTTAAGCGTGTGGACAGTGTCTTTCAATGTGTTGAAAGTGTCAGTGTGTAGACAGCCTTGTTCAAGGTGTAGACAGTCTCGTTCAGCAGTGTGTGTGGACCATGTGTCAGTGTGTAGACTGTGTCTAAGTGTGTGGACAGTGTCTCACTGTGTGGACCATATCTCAGTGAGTGGACAGTGTCTTAGTGTGTGGACCATGTCTCAGTGTAAGGACAGTCTCGTTCCGTGTGTGGACAGTGTCTGAATGTGTGGACAGTGTCCAAGTGACAGTAGGTGATCGGCTGCAGCCTTCCATCCCTCCACGACCTGTACGTCTCCAGGACTGTGAGGCGAGCAGGTCGGATCACAGCTGACCCTGCTCACCCTGCACACGGACTGTTTGAACCACTCCCCTCAGGCAGGAGGCTTCGGTCCATTCGGACCAGAACCTCCCGCCATATGAACAGTTTCTTCCCCTCTGCTGTTGGACTCCTGAACACTCATAATGCTACCTCATAATTTCTGCTTTGGTCACATTACATCTGTATTATAATTGAATACTCCATCTGTACTGTTTTCTAAGCTTTTTTATTGTTTTCTATTGTATGGGTGTACATATGGTTATGTTATGTTTTTAATTTTACTTTATTTGTGGGTGTACACAGGCTTATGTCTTATGTAATGTTCTCATTTTTACTTAATTTTTACTTTATTTTACTTTACTACTATTCGCACCTTATGTCGAAGCAAATTCCTAGTTTGTGAACCTCGTTCATTGACATGGCGATAATAAACTGATTCTGATGTGTGTGGACCATGTTTCAGTGTGTAGACAGTGTCTCAATGTGTGGACTGTGTCTGAGTGTGTGGACCATCATCTTTCAGCACTCACGTGGCTGCTGCTCCATTGTTAGCTTGCACTTGTAGTAGCTGAAGTATTCTCCTCCAAAGAGAAAGGAGAACTTGGGGTTGTCTTTCTGTTTTTCCATGGTCATCTTCTCGAACTCAGGTCCATTTCGAGCCACAAACTGGGCCAACTTGTCAATCACATTCCTCAACTCCTGATCTGATGGATAGACATAGACCAAGAAGGACATAGTGAGCCAGAAAACAACCTATCACCGTTTTCTAAACTGCACTTTTACTCTGAAAGTTATTTAGCTCTAAACTGCTCTCGTGCAAAGGTTTCACACATGGAGCTAAGGTGCAAATTAATTGACCAACATGACTAAGTGGGGGGCGACGAGATGGCGACGAGAACGGATATGCATTAATGTGAGAGCCGCATCTATCTGCACAACTAATTCAAGAAAGACGTTAATTGTCACCAACAATCACGGGGACAACAAAGAAGACCGTGAGTAATCTCCCCAGCTGAAGATTTAAACTCTCGCTCTTCAAATAAGCAACAAAAAAGAGTTATCCTACTCCCGACAGACTAGCTTAGCTGAAAGTTACGTAGCACAAAAGCTAACGTGTACAATGGCTAAGTCGAAGAATACTACCTTGGCTCAGCTCGAAGTTATGGAGTCTGAGACACCAAAAGAAAAAAGAACTGCTAGAGAACTCCACTCTTACGCTTGCAGCCTGACACCCGACCCGCCAGCTAAGCAGAAGGTGAAGAAAGCTAAAGGTGAGCTGCCAACGCAACACGTGGAGCCGACGCTATCGGAGCTACAGAACACCATAATTGAGAAGATTAATGAGAGGGCAGATCAGACGGACAAGGCAGTCCAGCATAACAGTACCCAAATTGAGGAATTAAAAAAGTCATTGGAATTCTGCTTCCAAGAAATAGCAGATCTGAAGAAACAAAATAACACGCTGCAGGAGAAATGTAAAGTCCTGGATCAGAAAGTTTCCGACCTGGAACTCAAACTCAATAACGCAGATCGACACAGCCGACAGCTTAACCTCAGACTGTATGGTGTTCCTGAAGACAATAAAGACAACAACACTAAAAAAACTGTCCAAGAAATATGTCAAGCAATTCTACCAGATAGTGAAGTGGGGTCAGTGCTTTCAGCAATGGACGTCGTACATCGCATCGGCGGTCTTCGACAACGAGATGGGACAACCAAACCTCTTCCACGACCGGTGTTCATCAGATTCCAGACCAGGACGGCCAGAGACGTGCTATGGAAAGGATCCAAGAACAGCAGCTACCTCCAAAACAAAAAGCTAAGCTTTAAAGAAGATCTGACCGCTGCAGAAAAAGAAATCCGAGGCAAGCTGTGGCCCGCGGTGGAGGAAGCCAGGAAAGCGGGTCGCAAAGCATATTTTGTTGGAACTCGAGCTTATATTGAAGGGAAAGAAATTAAGATATGAGAAGGGAAAAATATATTTCAATACTACCTTTGGTGAGTTAAGACCTCCACTCTAACCTGAGATGGAGAAGGTGACAATCATTCTATCTTAGTGCAGATAATGCAATTAATAAGCAGATACTTGTTAGCTTAAACAGCTGAGTTACAGGTCTGCTGTTGTTCAGGGTGTTATTGTTTGTTTGTGTTTGTTTATGTCTATTTCTGTTTTTTCTGTAAATGCCAGGGGTATTAGGAACCAACTTAAAAGGAAAGCTTTATTTCTATACTGCCTTAACAAAAGTGCTGATTTTTATTTGTTACAGGAGACCCATGCTTCAGAAGATGATGTAACGTTTTGGAGGAGTCAGTGGGGTCGACAAATATGGTTTTCTTTTGGTAGTAATAAATCAGCAGGTGTTGCTATCCTGCAAGGAAAATTTAAAGGGAAAATTTTAAAATTTGAAACGGATACTGAAGGCCGTTGGATTACGCTTTTAACTGAAACTAATCAGTCACTTTTTTTAATCATCAACATATATGGTTACAATAACAAACAAGACAACAAGCAGTTATTTTTGACCTTAGAAGCCAAAATTGAACAAACATTACTCTCATTTCCTACTGCTAAAATTATATGGGGAGGAGATTTTAACAATGTGATGAATGATAATCTGGACAGATTGCCCTCAAAGAATCAAACAACAACTGAATTACATCATATCTGTGATAGATTAGGACTTATTGATATTTGGAGATCTAAAAATTTGGATAAAACTTCCTACACATGGAACAACAAAGACAGAACTCAACAGTCACGCATAGATTTTTGGCTTATTTCCTCAGATTTAGAAGACAACGTGACCGATGCCTCTATTGAACCAACAATACTGACAGATCACAAAGCTATCACAATTAAAATAGATGCAAACACTGACAGACATGGTCACAATAAAGACTACTGGAAATTAAATAACTCCTTATTAAAAAATGAAGAATTTAAAACTGAAGTAATTAAACTTATTAATAAATATTGGACTCAAGCAAATTTAACAAAATACTTTTGTAAAAACTGGGAACTATTTAAATTTGAAATTAGAAAAATGGCAATTAGAATAGGCAAAAAACTTGCCCAAAAGAAAAAAGAAAAAGAATCCCAAATAATAGATGCAATTTTAAGAATATCAAAAAAAACAGATGTATCTGAAGAGGACTCCAAAGAACTTTCAACACTACAACTAGAACTGGATCAGCTCTATGAGGACAAAGCCAGAGGAGCTTTTGTGAGGTCCAGAAAAAAATGGTTAGAACAAGGAGAAAAGTGCTCCAAATATTTTTTCAACCTGGAGAAGAGAAACTTTGAACAATCATTTATTGGAAAGCTTAAAATTAACAATATGATTTGTGATAATGAGCAAGTTATTTCAAACTATGTTTCAAACTTTTATCAAAACTTATACTCAGAAAATTTAGAAGATGAAGGAAGAATGGACGCATTTCTAAGAGAACATGAAATGGATACCATCAAGATTGATGATGACTTTAAAAGAGATTGTGATAAAGAAATTAATCTAAAGGAAGTTCAGGACTCTATATGCTCTCTTAAGGATAATAAATCCCCTGGCAACGATGGCATAAGTAGTGAATTCTATAAACAGTTTGCAGGAGAACTGGCCCCTTTTTTAAAAAATATGTTTGAAGAGTCAATACTGAGAGGTGAATTAGCCCCAACTCTCCAGCAGGGATTGATTAAGCTCATCCCTAAACCCAAAAAAGATCATTTGAGTATTGAAAACTGGAGACCAATTAGTCTTTTAAACAATGACGCTAAAATATACGCAGTTATCTTTGCCAAGCGACTGAAATTAGGTTTAAATGATATTATTAGTGAAGAACAATCTGGATTTATGCCTGGAAGAAACATTAGCAACAATATTCGTCTAATATTGGACATGATTGACTACAATGATTTTATTCCTGATGAAAGCTTTATTCTGTTTATCGACTTCTACAAAGCGTTTGATACCATAAGTCATAAATTTATGTTCAAGTCTATTAAACATTTTGGATTTGGAGATTTTTTTTCCAAAGCTATTAATACCCTGTACCAGGGCTGTAACAGCTCGGTCAAGCTGGCACATGGGACAACGAGAAGGTTTAATATCAATCGAGGTATCAGGCAAGGATGCCCTCTAAGCCCATTCTTATTTCTTCTGGTTACACAAATTATGTCTATACATGTAAAAAAAGGTCAATTCCAAGGCATCTTAACTCTAGATAGACACTTCACATTATCACAGCTGGCTGATGATACTGCGTTATTTATCGCTAATGTAAATGAAGTGAGGAATGCAGTTGACTGTATCCAGGAATTCTCTTCCGTATCAGGTCTAAAAATGAATCTTAATAAATCTGTTCTGTTCCCACTAAAAGACTGCACACTTTCTGAAATTAATGATATTCCTGTCAAAGAGCAATTTACATACTTAGGAGTGAATATTGAAAAGAATCAAAATTTGCGTAGCAGCTCAAACTTTGGCCCTATTATACAACAAATAACAACAAAATTTAACATGTGGCTAATGAGGGACCTGTCATTAAATGGTAGGGTACTACTGTCAAAAGCTGAGGGAATATCTAGATCTGTATATACTTCCTTATCATTAGAGATGCCAAAAGATGTATGCAAAAAATTAGATAAAACATTATTTGACTTTATATGGAAACATAAATGCCATTACTTAAAAAAAGATATTCTCTGTAATAATAAAACATTTGGAGGTCTAGATGTCCTAAGTTTTGAAATGCTAAATAATTCCTTTAAAATTAAATGGTTAACTAACTTATTAAAAGGAAAAGATACGCTTTGGAACACTTTCCCCAACCATATTTTTAATCAGATAGGAGGAATCCAATTTTTATTAAAATGTGATTATAAAATTGAAAAATTACCTATTAAGTTATCGAGATTTCACCAACAAGCTCTCCTGTCTTGGAAACTTGCCTACAAACACAACTTCTCCCCAACTACATATTGCATTTGGAACAATGGGAATATTTTATATAAGAACAAGTCGCTTTACTACAAAAATTGGATGGAAAATGGAATTATGCTTGTACAACAACTATTAAATGATAATGGAACCTTTATGACATACACTGAATTTCTGACTAGACTTAAAATTCCTGTAACACCTAAAGAGTATGCTGTAGTTTTTGATGCTCTACCAAAATCTATGAGGCAGCTCTTCAAAGGAACAAAAGTGAACAATTTGCCTAGAGACCAACTTAGAAGCCCCGTAATGCTGGATGGAATCGATGTAACAAAAAAAACATGCTCCAACAAACTCATAAGAACTTGTCTGCAGAAGATCACTCTGCCTCCTGGTAGATTTTTCTGGTCTTCCATATTTGAAGGAGTTAACTGGAAGCAGATGTGGTTAAATTGGGAAAAATTTTGCATAACAAACAAAGTTAAAGAGGTTTCATATAAAATTATTCATAATGTATATCCTGTTAAAAAAACACTGGAAAGATTTAAACTTGACATTGACTATTCTTGTACATTCTGTGAACTACACATAGAAACGATTTCTCATTTATTCTATCAATGTGTTCATACAATCTCATTCTGGAGAGATGTGCAACAATTCATACAGCAAAAAACTGGACAAATAATTCAGCTTACAGAGAAAGACATTATACTATGCTTTGAAGACAAAGGCACGAATAAAGACTTGTTGCACTTCACCCAACTTCTACTTCTCCTGGGAAAGTTTCACATTCACAAGAAAAAATGGTCCAACTCCAAACCAAACATAACCCATTTCAGCAAAGAACTTCTTCAATACATCACCTCAATTAATGGACTGGAAAACCAAAAGGCAATGAAAACCATCTCAACTCTGGAAAAGCTTAATGTGAATTTAAACTCTGTATAAATTGTAAATATAATTTCATGGTTTTTTATGTTTTGTACTAGAATATTATCTCTTTTACATTAATATCTATACCCCTGGCAAACAGATGTTTGTAATGTGTGATTAAAATCTTTAATAAAAAAAAAAAAAAAAAAAAAAAAAAAAAAAAATGACTAAGTGGGGGGCGGAGGGGAGGAGAGAACAGTGGTTCAGGTGGTAGAGCTGTTCCCTCTCAGTAAGAAGGTCGCCGGTTCAAATCCTGGCCCGGGACCTTTCAGGGTGGAGTTTGCATTTTCTCTCCGTGCTGCGTGGGTTTTCTCCAGGGTTTCCTCCCACAGACTAAAAACATGCATGTTAGGCTGATTGTTAACTCTAAATTGTCCCTAGGTGTGAGTGAGTGAATGACTGTTTCTGCCTCGTTTGTCTCTATGTGGCCCTGATGGACTGGAGACCTGTCCACCGCGGTAAAGTTAGTTTTTCGCCGCGGTGACCTGTCCAGGATGTCCCCCGCTTCTCGCACTGATAGCTGGATATGGGCACCAGTGAACCCCGCAACCCGAAAAGGAAGAAGCAGGTAAATATAATAGACGGCTGGATGAATGGACTAAGTAAGTGTTAGCTTAGATGCTATAAATATAGCTAACGTTAGCAGTAGCATTACGCGGTATCAAAGGGAGAGAAACAGCGGGAAAACGCTCACCTTCAGGTGGATTAGGGACATCCATGATGTGTCGGCGTCACACCGAAACGATTACCATCAACGGTTACTGATAAGACAAATTAAATATTACTGATTTCAACAAATGGCCCCTAAATAATGCTTTGCGCTCGCAGCACACTGGAAGTGCAACAAGGCGGAAACAGCGCGAGCCCAACGGAAGTACTTGGGTCAGGTTTTCCTGCAGCGCCCCCTGTGCTCAGAAATAACAACTTCACGAGAAGTGTGTACTGTACTGTACAGTTCAAAATGGCCTGATGCATGCTCAATAATTCAAGTAAATGAATTTAACGAGGTTGAGTCAGGTCATCTGAAAAACACCTCCAGCAGATCCAGAACCAGGCTGAGGGTGGGCAGTGACTGTCTGTGTTTGGAGAGGTCAGGAAATAGCCAGACAGACCCAGAAAGCTGCTCCTGATGCAGAGTGAGGACATGTGGTCAGTTTTTCCTCCAGAACAACCAGAATTATGGGCCTGTTTATTATTCTGAAACTGTTTTTGTGCAGAGAGTGGTGAAGGCTGCACAGAAGTCTGTTGGAGTCAGTCTCCCCACCATCACAGACATTTACACCTCTAGATGCAGAAAGAGGGCCACCTGCATCATGAAAGACCCCACTCACCCAGCACACACTTTCACACACTTTTTGCCCCACTCCCCTCAGGAAGGAGGTTAAGGAACATTAAGTGTAGAACAACTAGACTGAGGAACAGCTTCTACCCTGAGGCTGTTAGACTCATGAATATCTAACCAGGATAATCACTGTGAAAAATCACATCATGTTGCTGCTGATCTGTTTCATGTTGCTGTGTTCATTGTTTAAAACAGCTCTCTCTTGTAAATGACTCCTCGTGACTCACTTAGACTAAAATGTATAAATAAAGGTTGAATGAAAATGTGGTTAGCTCTGATGTCTCTGATCACATTTAGTGGTAAATTGTGTGACCCAAAATTTTTTGGAATGCTTTTAAAATCTGTGTATCTGTATGCAGATACTCATACAGCCACGTCACACCACTAAATGGCACTGGTACTCTTTTGGTTTAATTAATTTCAACTCAGTTTATTTATATAGCGCCAAATCGCAACAGAAGTTGTGGGGCACTGTACACAAAACATTAACATACTTTATATAAAAAGTCAATTAGTAACATTTATTTAAAGAAGCCAGATGATTGTGCTGAATCTTCATTTCGTCGCAGTCTCCCATCCTGAGCAAACAAAGGCAACAGTGGAAAGGAAAAACTCCCTTTATACAGGAAGAAACCTCCAGCAGAACCAAGCTCAGGACAAGCGGCCATCTTCTTGGACTGGTTGTGTTTGAGAGGATGGGAAGGAGGAACAAACACAGAATGACAGGATGGGTCTTTTTACAGAAGAAAAGACAAAAAAAAGACATGTTAAGGATAGAAATTATTACAAATACAAACTTTATTTGTGTTCATTCGTAACTTAATTTGAGGAAATGTGATCAATTTGTCCTCCAGTATAAGCCTATAGTAGCATAGAGATAGCTCAGAAAACAAAAAGGAAAGACTTAAGCCTAATTTTTTAAAGTTGATAAGGTGTCAGCATCAAGAACAGAAATTGGAAGTTGGTTCTACAAAAGAGGATAAGTGAAAGCTCTGCCTCCCATTCTGCTTTTGGAAACTCTAGGAAACACAAGTAAACCTGCAGTCTGAGAGGGAAATGCTCTCTTAGGAAAATATGGAACAATAAGATCTGTATTGCAATTTTCAGATGTAGCTAAGTTATTGAGAACTTTGTAGGTTAGAAGTAAGATTTTGAATTAAATTTTGAATTTGACGGAGCCAATGGAGAGAAGCTAAAACTGGGAAGATATGATCTCCTACTAACTCCAGTTAAGACTCTAGCAGCAGCATTTTGGATCAACTGAAGACGTTTTAAAGAAGTTTTTGGACACCCAGATAATAAACCATTGCAACGGTCCAGCCTAGACCTGATAAATGCATGGGCCAGTTTTTCTGCATCCTTTGTAGACAAGATGTTTCTAATTTTAGCGATATTACACAGGTGGAGGAAAGCAGTCCTGGAAATGTTTTTAATGTGGGAGTTAAAATACATATCCTGATAAAAAAAATAACACCAAGGTTTTTAACTTTAGAACTGGAGGCCAAATTAATGCCATGCAGAGAAAGTGAAAGACTGCAAAATTTATTCCCAAGGTGTTCAGGTCCAAAAACCATGACCTATGTCTTGTCTGAGTTTAAAAGCACAAAATTAAGGGTCATTCAGGTTTTTATGTCTTTAAGACATGCTTGTAATCTAAATAACTGATTGGATTCATTGGTTGACAAATATAATTGATACTGATATATTAATATTGATATAGAAATGCATACATGTGTGTACAAATAGAAAATCTGATGCTGTTGTTGGTGTACTGTATATTTTTATACAAAGAAAATGTACTGAATAAATTATTTTCTTCATTATTTTCATGTAATACATGAATGTAAAAATATACATGCATACATACAGCCAAACAGCCATTGTTGGCCTTGTTCCTGTGTTTTGATGCCTCATAAATGTTTTGTTTTGCTGTACAGCACTTTGGCCTTGTTGCTGTTTTTAAGTGCTTAATAAATAAAGTTGTATGGTATGGTATGGCATGGTATAGAATAGCATGGTATAAATAAATTGGTATAATATGGTAAAGTTAGGATCACCAAACACCTGTTTATGGTTCTTGAGAAGATTTTTATATATATATATATATATATATATATAAATATATTCTTAGATTTTTTTTTTTTTTTATTTTTAAATAAAGGGATGAATACTTCTTTGAGATCAAATAGTAATTATTTATCGATAAAAAGTCTGATCGTTGATGAGAATCAGCCTTAAAGAGCACTCTGCCTCATATCAACAAATGTCCCTGAAGCCAGATATAAAGATTTTTAAAATTTACTAATTTATTTATTTTTGTCTGAGAAAGGTCAAAGTTGTCTGGGAGCAAACAAAGTTCATGTCTGGAGCAAAGCTCTTGGCTCCGCCCCTCTCTCCTGCTGAACCCGAGGCATGTAACGTGCAGACCACGCCTCCTCGTTCTGATAAACCAGAGGGGGCGTGGTCAGCAGACCAAAGGAAAGTCCTATGAAACATACAAACGCACACTGGGCATGCGCCAGGGAAAAAAATGGTGGAGGTTGTTTTGTAAACGAAGAGACATTGTTTGTTTCTGCTGTGTTGTCTGCAGTTGGATGAATGCTCCCCCTTCGCACGTCAGGGAGTGTAAGTTCGTGTGTTTTCTAATGCAAAACATCCCGATTTGAAAAAAAAGCAGTTTGGGTACTTTGTTCCGATTGGACGGACGCTCGGTGACAGTCCGTGTTTGCTAGTTGTTGGTTAGCTGAGCCCAAAGGAAGCAGAATCAGGCACCTCACGGAACCTTTCGGAGGATGTCCTGGTGACAGTTTGTTTACAGATGGATAGTCCAAACTTTGGACATGTCCAGAGGAGAGACAGTGGGTATATTGGTAGAAAGACGTTAGAAATGCAGCTGCCAGGAAAAAGACAAAGTGAGGAAGGCCAAGAGGAGATATATGGATGCAGTTAGAGAGGACATGGAGGTAGTTGGACTGAGGACAGAGGACATGGAGGTAGTTGAACAGAGGACATGGAGGTAGTTGGACTGAGGACAGAGGACGTGGAGGGGGATGGCTTGCTGTGGAGACCCTTGATGAAAGAACAGTCCACTGAACAAGACATTTGTATTACAAGTCATTTGTACTGAAGCACTAATGTATTTTACCTACACTTATGTCATAGTCTAATTGATGCGAAATAAATGCACATTTATAAAGCAAGCAGTGAGACATGCAGCAACCTGCCTGTTTCTGTCACACACTGCCTCACCACATGTCACCTCTACTAATGCCCTGAATCCAGATCCAGAGCTTGATGTTCATTTTTTCTCCAAAACCCAGTTGATGCTGTAGTTAAAAGTCCCAAGATGACCACAGACACACCACCCCAAAACGTGGGCTTCGAGGTGATGACGTTCACCCCCTCCAAAGAAGAGTTCAAGGATTTTGTCCGGTATGTTGCTTACATGGAGTCACAAGGAGCACACAGAGCTGGGATGGCTAAGGTAAGTGGATTTCTTTTCACGTACCTGCTTATGAAGCTGTGTTAAAATCCAAACATTTCTTCTAATTTTGGAAGAATGAACAGAAGCTCTTGGACATATCAGCAGCAACGTAACTGAAGGAATTCATCAGTTTTCATGGATAAATAGAACAACGTGTCATCAGCATAACAGTGAACCTTTAACCTGCGCTATCTTCACCTAATGGCAGTATATATGAAGTAAAGAGTCCAATTTTTGCAAGCACTGAAACTTGAGAAACTCTAAGACCATCTCTGGTGTATAAATATGGTTCAGACCTCCATTTTTGTGTTTGTTTAAGGTCAATTGGCAGAAGTGGCCATCTTAAAATAAGCTAAGGTCAAATGTTAACCAGTTGTAGATTTACATGAAGTGTGTATTATTGTTTTTTTGTTTTTTTTGTAGTTTAGTTCTTTTCGTTACATGGAAGAACGTAAAACAGGAAGTGTCTGAGTTTTAACTACTATATTTTTCGGACTATAAGGCACACCGGATTATAAGGCGCAACATCAATGAACGGGTCTGTTTTCATACATAAGGCGCACCAGACTATAAGGCGCATTAAATGAAACAAAACAGTCAGATAAGTCAAACTTTATTCATCTCATTCACAACAACTCTCTACATTGTTCAGTTTTTCCACATAAAATCGGTTTGAGGTCAGTAAGCACAACCAGAATTGATACATAAGGCGCACCTGATTATAAGTCTCACTGTCGATTTTTGAGAAAATTAAAGGATTTTAAGCGCGCTGTTGCGCCTGCAGGTCTTATCTCGGACCTCAGGCCCACCTCTAGCTCAGGAGGCTTCTGGCTCGGACTCCCTTTTAGAAGTAGTAACTCACACTATCTCAATAAATCAAGGAAAAGTGTATTCACTTTACCAGTTGTATTAAATCAAGGCAGGAAAAGGTTACAGCGCTGGCCTCTGAAACAATTCGACGCAAGATCAAGGACTGGAAGGGCTGGATGACATGTTGCCTTACAGATCTATTGGGCCTAGGCTCCGCCTTCTTCTGGGAGCACAGCCTATCAAGTGAATAAGAGGGGCGGACTAAGTGTAATCTCATGGGATCTTATGTGAGCTGACGTGTCAGGAAGATATAACAGAGTGTGGAAAGACCTCTCTGCGTGGTGTAGCAAGCCAATAAGAAAATAACCTGGACTTCCAGATTTATAGTCTTTCAAACTTATAGTCTGAAATATATGGTAATAGCCACTATGCCTTACGCTCTAACAATGTTGCCCTTCTTTTGGTTCCTCATGTCAGAACTGAGTTAAGGAAAAGTGCCTTGAGCTTTGCTTCCCCTTGGCGTGGAACCACCTATAGACAGATCTGAAACTGCCAGGCCTCTTCTCTTTGAGATCCTTCAGTTCAGTCCTAAAAGACAGTGTTAGTAAAACCTTTGAACGATGCCTGTGTTTTTAACCATTACCTGTTTACCCACTGTCTGTATTTTAACGATTGCCTGTGTTTTTTAGCTGTTGCCTTTGTTTATCCTTCTTGTCTGTGTTTTTAATTATTGCTGGCACTTTCTTAATCGTTGTATTTCAGTCACTGCTAAGATCATTGTGATGCGTTGCCTTGCACTTTGAAATCAAAAAGCCGATTTAAGCGTAAATTACACAGTTCATTATATCGTTCATTGTTTTGATTCTTCTTTTATGATGTGTTCTGCTGACGTCTTGGTCACCCTTGGAGAAGAGATCTTGATCTTGGTGGGTTTTTGGTTAGATAAAGGTGATGATGTTTTAGCTATACGAAAAGCAGTGAGCCATTTTCTTGTTTGCAGCAGTTTTGGTGGATTTATCTGCAAATTTTATATTATTTATTATCATCATGGTTAGTTAAGGAGTTTTTTTTTATTTAATATGCTGTGTTTTTCTATAAAGATTTTAAAGATGTTAATGCGTTGCATACATTGCATCCAGACACTGGGGCTGCACAATATTAAAAAAAAAACTTACAAAGTGCGATAATAGTATTAAAAATCCAGACATCAGTTTGATAAATCCATTTTTTTTCTGTCATCTTAACCAGGTGTGGGCAGCAATGCCATCTGTTTGATTGACCATATTTATTATAAACCGCAGAACATGAAGGTGAGAAAAGGCTGGCTAAAAGGAGCATAAAAGATTGAACTGAAGGCATGCTGAAGCAGGTTTCAAAGACGTTTTAAAAGGAACTGAAGAGATCTCTTTGTATTTGTATGAGGAAAATAATTGGAAATGAAGTAAAATATTTAGAAAATATTTAGAAAAATATAAATTCCAAAAACCAAAACTCGTAGCCCATCTCCTGAACAAGCTGATGGTTTTGAAATCTAAACAGAAAAACAATAGTGCGTCTGTATAACAGGTTCTCACACGCAGATTTGTTTTTCAGATTATTCCACCTAAGGGCTGGAAGCCCAGAAAGACCTACGATAACATGGATGATCTGATGATTCCTGCACCTGTTCAGCAGGTGGTTACGGGCCAGTCAGGACTCTTCACTCAGTACAACATCCAGAAGAAACCCATGAGTGTTCAGGAGTTCCGCACGACCTCTAATTTACACAAGTCTGTTTGTATAGTCACATTTTTCACTTTGTTTTTTTATGGCTGTCAGACTGGGATGTTTGGACATTAAATAGTTTTTTTTTAACCTTCTCTGATTTAAACTGTAGGTTTCGCAGTCCCAGATATGCAGATTTTGATGAGCTGGAGAGGAAGTTTTGGAAGGACCTGACCTTTAATCCTCCACTGTATGGGGCTGATGTCAGTGGGACGCTGTATGATCCAGTAAGGGGGATTAAGCTCAAAAACATCAAGTTAACAGTACATCTGTCAGTAAATCTAAAAAAGTTAAATCTGGTCCTCTGGACATTCAAAAAAAACAAAAAAAAACAAAGCAAATCAACAAAAAATCGTTTCGAAACTAATCGAAACGTTTCGTCTCTCATCCGAGAGACTTCCTCAGTCTGAGGAGCTGTATTCAGCTCAGTCTCTTAAATAGCACCGTCTCAGAGTGGATCAACCAGTTTTGCTGCTGACAACCAAAACCAGCTGATCACATGCTCAAGAAGGACCATCAGCCTAACAATGGATCATTAGCACACTGATGGCTGTTTACTGTTCACAGAGGGCTGAGTGATACTAGCAATCACAGCATTGTAAGAGGGGGACAGTTGAACCCGGAGTTGATTTGCTTTGTTTTTTTTTTTTGAATGTCCAGAGGACCAGATTTAACTTTTTTAGATTTTTCTACCTGGATTATTGAGCATGCATCAGGATATCTGTCAGTAAAATTAAAATGTTTCCACATTGTCTCATAGTTACTTCCATTGTGATCAGTGTTTATACCTGCAGAGTCCTGTGAATTATTCTGTTTGCAGGAAGTGACTGAATGGAACATCAGTCATCTTAACACCATCCTGGACACTGTGGAGGATGAGAGTGGCATCAAGACAAAAGGAGTCACTAGACCATGCCTGTATTTTGGGATGTGGAAGAGTGCTTTTGCCTGGCACACAGAGGACATGGATCTGTACAGGATCAACTACCTGCACTACGGAGAGCCAAAGTCATGGTACGGTCCCCGACAGATCCTTCCACTGCATGGATGAAAGGGTCACACAGTAGGAGCTTTTAATCATCATGTTTTTAGTTCTGCTGAAATGCATGTGACAATGTAAAGGCAGTATTTCACTGGGTACAACTGCTGAAGACCAGCTGGAGGTGCAAAACTACGCACATTTTCCATCGTGCTCTCGCTGAATTCTGCGAGTTTGTGTCCAGCGAGCTGTGCGACTGTTTTAAATGGACTGTTTTTAAAAATCCTAGTCTGTTTTTGTGTGCACGGCTAGTAAAACTGTATTCTTTGTTGTGCACATTTGCCCACTTCCATCCACATCGTACCCACCTGGGCACCCACCCCCCATATCTGCCAGGTCCAATACACCACCTCTCAGTAAACTTTAGGAAAAAAGCTGTGCAGATCTGAGACAGTTTCTATCCATCCATCAACTTTACTCGCTTCTTCCTTTTCGGGTCATGGGGGTCACTGGTGCCCATTTCCAGCTGTCACTGTTTGAGAGGCGGGGGACACTCTGGACAGGTCTCAAGTCCATCACAGGGACACATAGAGACAAACGAGACAACCATTCACTCTCTCACTCACACCTAGGGACAATTTAGAGTTACCAATCAGCCTAACATGCATGTTTTTGGTCTGTGGGAGGAAACTGGAGTACCTGGAGAAAACTCACACAAGCACAGAGAGAACATGCAAATTCATCAGCATTGTTGTTGGACATTCTGGACTGGAGCCTCAAATGTTTTCTTTCAGAGGAGAGCTCTGTGCACGTTAAACAGCAGGTCTTGCACCTTTGGGTTCAAGATCCCTGCAACAAAATTTAGATGGGTTTAAGATGCCTTAAGTAAAATTAAGAGTCGCTCACAGCAAAATGGAGAAGAGTTTGAGACCCATGTATCAAAATTAAGTCTTTAAGACGCTTCAGCAAAGATGAGAACGGTTTAAGATAAATGCAACAATATTTGACTAAAAGGATTAGAGAAGAAGGAATGAGCTCTTCTGGATGACCAGCCCATCATGGCTGTGGAGAAATCGGTGACAGTGCATCTCCAGCAGTCACAGCCCAGTGAAAACTACCTTTAATTTAATGTGCTTTCTAATAAACCTAAAATTGAAATACTAATTTTAAACACTTGTATACAGCAGAGATGTTGGTACCTTCTATATTGTTTTACAGCAGCAGTGGCTGCTGTAAAACTGTAGAGGCAGAGACTTCCACAGTTTCTAATATCAAAATTATACATTTTAAAACACATTAACACTGAAACAGAATAACATCACATCAACTAAACCAAATGATGCGCTACCTTCAGCAGATTAGTTTGAGCATAAACATATATATTTTAGGACAAAAAGAAAAATGTCCGTGTTTTCTTTATTGGTAGAGACTGATTCATCCACTTTGATTCAGATTAACTGAACATAGTATTTTCTACGCAAATCCCTAATTACATTATGTTTAATATAATTGTTTTTATATTTTAATGGGCCTAAGGTATGTTGTGCCACCAGAACATGGGAAAAGACTGGAACGACTTGCCAGAGGTATGTGATAAACCTTTCAGATCTCACCTGTTCACATTTTACTCCTGGTACGCTGGTGAAGATTCTCAGTCATCCAGGACATGGTAAATTCAAAACAGTTCAAGACAAAAACAACAGGATTTTCTTTGTAACAAAAGACGTTTTGCTTCTCATCCGAGGAGCTTTCTCAATTATCAACTGAGAAAGCTCCTCTCATGAGAAGCGAAACGTCTTCTGTTTCAAATGAAGTCCTTTTGTTTTTGTCTTGAACTTTTTTTGAATTTACTACCGATAGTTCATTCTATATTAGACAGCTGTCTGAAGACCTCTTGTTTTAAGGCTTCAGTGTTTCCCCTACCATTATACAAGCAGGGCGCCCCGCCCTGTCCACAGAACCGATTGCCCTGCCTACCGAACTGCCCCTCCCCTCCTGCTCAACAACTGCCGGCACTGACGTAGCGCTAAGCTAGTGGCGTGCAATACAGACGTGCTAGTCAAAAAGCTACATAGGCAACACTCCGCTTCCCTCATGCTGAACCGTCTATCCTCCCTCCAACCCCCGGCTCAAAAAATGTTGGTAAAAACAGCACGCAACACAGATATGTCCACCCACCCCCCATTTCCCCTGTTACTTGCCAAGACAAGTAAACTGGGGAAACACTGGGCTGACTTGTTTTGTTTGTTGCAGTAGCATTTCATGCATTATTGCCCTTTATTTTATTTATCCTAAACATGTGTTTTCTTTAGGTAGTATCTGACTAAGCTGTAACTGTTTGAAACTAGTTTGTGAACTAGGTAAGGGAGTCTCCAAATTGTCTCAAAGTAACTGCAGCAGGTTCTCAATCACCTCAATCAGCAGGAGCGCTCCATCTGACAGAAAACATGTCCAGGTCTAAAACTTACACTGGTGTTAAATGATAATTGACACACTGGTTCAAATGTGCCTCGTTTTTGAAGTGGACACCAGTAGATTAAACCAGAAACAAGGGAGCAGCTGCCTGGGGGTACAAAGTAGTACCGAGGTGGGCACAAAGTATCCGTTTGTCCATCCGTCCATACATACATACATGCATACATTCACAACTACATGCATACAGCCATCCAGGCAAAAAGCAAATCTAAACATAAAATCAAACCGCCCATATCTAGTGAAAATCTTGTAGTGTAACTATGAGTCTTCAGCTTCTTCTTAAAATAACTGAAAGAATCAAGGCAACGTAAAGATCACTTTCCTTAACCTGTGAACCAGGGCTTTAGCAGAGCTGTCTCCTCTGGTCTTGCATTAGTTCATTTCTCTACCAGCAGCCTTCATCCAGAAGATCTGTGACTGCAAGAAGGATCAGATGTATGCTGAAGAAGGACCACATGTGGCTCTAAATATGAAGTCTTAAGTTCTAAATTGGATTTGTAAATAAATTAAAACCTGTAGAATGTGCTCATTAAAAGTCTTCCAGCAGCATTCTGGACTGACTGAACATGCTCTGAAGCTCTTCCAGTAGGCGAAGTGAGATCAAATTAAATCTTGGATCATCATCTCCTATTGTCAGAGTCAGAGTCAGAGTTTCTTTATTGTCATTCGCACCTCATGTGGTACATGTGGTGGAGCGAAATTATGTACGCAGGGTCCCAGTTACATCCAACAATAAAATGTATAAGAAAAACAGTAATAACATCTAAGATATGAACTAAGAAAAACATCAACTAAATATACACTAAGCACTCATAACATAAAACATTGAACATCAGCACAAACATGAACATGAGTCTGTGAGCAGATGTGCACGCATGAACACATCAACATTGAAACAGATCAGCAGCAACATGAAACAGATCAGCAGCAACATGATATGGTTTTTCACAGTGATTATTCTAGTTAGAGATTCATGAGTCTAACAGCCTCAGGGTAGAAGCTGTTCCTCAGTCTAGTGGTTCTACACTTAATGCTCCTTAACCTCCTTCCTGAGGGGAGTGGGGCAAAAAGTGTGTGTGCTGGGTGGGTGGGGTCCTTCATGATGCAGGTGGCCCTCTTCCTGCATCTGGAGGTGTAGATGTCTGTGATGGTGGGGAGGCTGACTCCAACAGATTTCTGTGCAGCCTTCACCACTCTCTGCAAAGCTTTTCTTTCTGCAGCTGTGCAGCCTCCATGCCACACATTGATGCTCGAGCACAGGATGCTCTCCACTGCACACCTGTAGAAGGAGGTGAGGACTGAGCTTCCCAGACCAGCTCGCCTCAGCCGTCTGAGGAAGTAGAGTCTCTGATGAGCTTTCTTGATCAGGCTGGTGGTGTTGTTGCTCCAGCTGAGGTTGTCATTCATGTGTACACCCAAGTACTTGTAGCTGGAGACCACTTCCACCGCAGATCCTCTTATGTTCAGGGGGGTGTAGGTGTTTTTGTTCCTTCTGAAGTCCACAATCATCTCCTTTGTCTTCTTCACATTGATGTGAAGGTTATTCTCTCTATTGTGACACCTGAGTTGAGTTTGGAGACATTTTTTACTGGAAGAGACAATTTCTAACTAACTTTCTTGAATGATGCGCTAAGGCCAACAGAGTCAAGCACATACTGAGGTTTCTGAGACTGGACAGGTGTACTTTATGCTCCAAGATGCTGCCTGAGTTCAGAAGACTGGCTTTCAGGGCCTGTAATAAGGATTGTCACAGAGGATGACAATTTGTGATATTCAGTGGACTCAACAGAGCTGAAGCTCATCAACAGAGAAACGAATGGAAACATCCAGAAAATGCCCAATTGTTAATCCTAAAGGAAGAATGTAGAGAAGAAACCTGAAAGGTCTCAGGACAGAGCCCTGAGGAACCCACCACAGGCTTTTAGAGCCTGACAGGATCTGGTTGTAGGTTGTGCCAGTAAAGGGAAGAACCATACTACTTTAGAACTAGAGCAGATAGATCGGCCATTCTAAACGCAGACATATTGCCTGCTGGATGCTTGGTGATAAACACTCATAATTCTGGGTAATTTGCTTGTTTGAGCCACCATCTAACAGTCACTGCCCAGTGAATCACCTCCTTTACAGCATAAAACTGTCATTCAGTTTACAAACGGGGAAAAGTTTGAAAGTGTGATGAGAAGAGATGTAGGTGACATCTGAAGAGATCACCGTGCGTTCGATGTTCTGTTTCATCCCTCCTGACCACCAGAGGGCGGTGCTGAAAGCACTGAATGTTCCCTTCGCGTATGCTGTGTTCGAGTAAGAATACCAACGGAGTCACAGGTGTGACATGGATGACCAATCAAAGGCTATATAGCCTGACGTCATCTGCAGCTCTGCTCCTTTTTTCTTCTCGCCACGGTTCAATTCAGGGCTTCAGCCCTTTGGACCTTTTTTGAACTTTTCACCGTCGTCGGAAGCCCGACTGCCCGTTAGCGGGAGTAGCATATTCGCCCTCCTTGGGGCTGCGATGGTTTAACCCTGTTCAAAGGTATTTCTGCTGATTTGTTGGGTTCTACGGCCATTTCCGCCCCTTCCAACTTACAGCATCTGACTACTACGTGTGTGATTCAACACCGGTGGGTAGTGTTTTTACTTCTATTTCGCCATTGGTTAGCAGAAGCGTTCGCTCCGCTCCCGTTTGTTGGAGGCCTCCAACCGCGTCGTCGGCTGGACTGTGCTCCGAAGTTTATGACTACTATGTGTGTGACTTAACACTGAGTAGTGTTTTTTACTTATATTTTGCCATTGGTTAGCCGTTTGCTGGAGGCCTTTAACCTTGTGGTCGGTTGGACTGTGCTCCGAAGTTTGTTTATTACGTAGCCAACTGAGTTCCTGGCCTTGTTTTCATTGGTGAAGGCTTGCATTTGCACACCTTGTCCCAGTCATTTTCACCAACCTCATAGACGGTTGGACTGAGCTAGCGGTACTAGCCTCTCTACTTTCTGGCCTTGTTTCATTGGTGAAGGCAAGTGTTCGCGCCCCCTCTCCCAATCTTTTTTACCAACCTCATACACGGTTGGACTGAGCTAGCGGTACTAGCCTCTCTACTTTCTGGCCTGTTTTTTTATTGGTGAAGGCAAGCGTTCGTGCCCCCTCTCCCAATTGTCCTCTTTTACCAGCTGAGCTAGCAGTGCTAGCCTCTCTGAGTTTTGGCCTTGTTTTAATTGGTGACGGCAAGCGTGCGCGCTCCCTCTCCCAATTTTTCGGCCCAACCTTTCGTCCTGTATCTTGGACATAGCTGGCGGTGCCAGCCTCTTTGCTGGTTGACTTGAAGTGAACTGCCTAAAGTAAGGAGCATGGACGGCTCTCACTGCTATACAGTTTGTGGAGCCAGACTCCAGACAGATGACGGTCACGACCTGTGTCCTGCCTACCTTGGACATGACCATCTGGTGGAGGCCCTGTCAGAGAACCCCTGCATGAATTGCAGCTTATTGCCTCATGCTGTGAGGCTGGCTCGGCTGGCCCAGTTTCGCCCCGAGCTCAGCGATGACCTCCTGCCTTCTGGGCAGGAGACTCCACCTAGGCGCTCCAAGCACCGGACTGAGGCCGCAGTCTCTGTGGCCCCTCCTGGGAAGAGGTGAGCCAGGTCTGATCAGGGCCTCTCCATGAGGGTGGAGAAGCTATTCGCTGAATTGGCGGAGATGAAGTCCCTTTTTCAGGTACGCCAACTGGGGACTGAACCAGTGGCAGCGACCGGACTCTCCTGCCCACCCATGCCTGAACTGGCTGCGGAGGAGGATGTGCTATCCTTGACTGCCTCTGCCTCTCACTTTTTAGGTGAGGAAGAGGGGCATTCATCTCAAGTCTCAGAGACGGCTTCACTTTCTTCGTCTCGGAGCGCTGTTTGTGGGTCTGGTGACGGCTCGATGCCTGAGACGGCTGTAGCTGGACGTCCCACAACCAGAGAAGTCCACCCCTGGAAGTGCCTTCTTCAGGCACGGACGGGCCCCTCCTTCCTTCTCTGTCCCTCCATTGTAGGAGTACCTGAGGGAGTTGCATGGTTGCTGGCGGGACCCCAAAGTCTTTGCGCACCTCTCCGTGGATGGCCGAGTGTTGGCGGCTA